GATAGCTCATCCAAAAAGATGAAAAAAGTCGCTATTAAGTTACGCTCTAAAATGCACAATTTTCGAGATACAGGGTAGCTAAACACCCTTGTAAAAAGCGGTTAAACCTCCCCCATATCTTACTTTAAAATACCCATATAAGAGATAGGGCAGAGAGTAACGGGGCCGAACGAACCAAACTGGTGTGCATGCACACCAGTCCCTGGGGGACGAAACCATTGCTCCGCAGACTCCGTGTGGAGTCTATAACATAGATAGCCATAATTAGATTGGGCGTGAGACTCTAAGTCAAGCGCTGCGGCCTCTATACTAGAGAATTAGAGACCATATTAAACATAAGTCAGATAAGAACGGGGCGATGCAGACATCGACCAAGGCCGATGCACATGCGTGCCGGCCGGCATAGGTGATCATATGTCGGACGGAACGCTTGAACACCGGACTTGATGCGAAAGAACCATCACCCAAGGTCAATATATGCCGACCATATTAGTACATAAGCACCTTTGTAAGATTGGGTACTAGACACTATGTCGAATACCACAATCCCTATCTGCGCATAGGCTATATATATATTATGTCATAAGATCGGACTCGGACTGCCCCCACCAGAAAAGGTTTGGCAGACGGGTCACGGCTCATATCGGGCGCCGCGGCGGATGCCAACGCTGAGCCATATTAAGACACCAGGGGCTACTGTGGAAACAGATAGCTCGCAGGTAAGATAACCAGAATACTGCACTGGTTATCTCCTATACAGATACCAATAATATTGTAAATTGGTAGTAGGTGGGCCAAGTTACTCTCTCCACATTCTCACTACGATCATAAATCTAAAAGAGTGTCAATCTCTTGATTTGAAAATTCAATAAACTAGCAGTCTTTGCAGAGAGAGATACAGGGTGTTGAAATTTTAGAAAAAAATTCGTTTTTTTCGAATATTTTCGGAACCATTTATCGTACAAAAAACAGCTTTTATAAGCATTTTCTACTCAAAATAAGCTATGTTTTGTGCTAGAAAAATTTTTTTTTCCTCATTATTGATGGAGATTTTGAAGGGGTAGCGGGTGTTTTTCTCCTCAATTTCTACGCCTCTGAAAAAAGTACGGTTTTAAGAGGCCCATTCGAACCGCCAATGTTTTTTACACAAAAAAGGTACTCCTGGTCATAAGCTCTAAAGTTGACCGTTTTCGAGAAAAATCAACTTTTATGTTTAAAAACATAGTCAATTTAAAAAAAAATATTTTTTTTTTACTAATTAAACAAAATTTATTTTAACGTTAGGACAAGTAACAAAACCAAACCATAATTGCAAAATATTTCAGCATTTGAGTAAAAAATCATTTTTTATTTTTTTTTTTAATTTTGCAATTATCGTTTGGTTTTGTTACTTTTTCTAACGTTAAAATAAATTTTGTTTAATTAGTAATGATTTTTTTTTTTTAAAATTGACCATGTTTTTAAACATAAAAGTTGATTTTTCTCGAAAACGGTCAACTTTAGAGCTTATGACCAAGAGTACCTTTTTTCTGTAGAAAACATTGGCGGTTCGAATGGGCCTCTCAAAACTGTAATTTTTTCAGGGGCGTTGAAGTTGAGGAGAAAAACACCCGCTACCCCTTCAAAATCTCCACCAATTATGAGTAAAAAAATTTTTTCTGGCACAATACCTAGCTTATTATGAGTAGAAAATGCTTACAAAAGCTGTTTTTTGTACGATAAACGGTTCCAGAGATAATCTAAAAAAACGATTTTTTTTCTAAAATTTCAACACCCTGTATCTCGAAAATTGTGCATTTTAGAGGGTAAGTTAATAGCGACTTTTTTCATCTTTTTGGATGAGCTATCCCATCCTGAAGACCTGCGCATATATTATGAAACACCCTGTATATATACAGGGTGCCCGTTTTTCGAGCTCCACCATGGAGATCTCCGTTATTAAAAGAGATACGAGGTCGGTTAAATTAGGGCAAAGTTGCGCATTTTCATGCTGAATAATTATCTGAAAGAAAATTTTATGTGTCATTTTTACTTTTTGAATTATTGGGAAAAAAACTGAAATTTGCAATTTTCGTTTTTATTTTTTTAAGCGAAAACCAAAAGAACTGGACGTTTTTAAGTAGCGCGTTCTTAGGGCACTTTTTTAAAAGGAATCCAAATCTGTCATCTTTTTTTCTAAGGCGTCCTTGATGCCAGAGTTACAACACTCAACTTTGGTTTTTCTTATAGGCGCCATATTGGATTTTTGCATTTTTAAAACGTTTTTTTTTCCTGATTTCAACGATGTATCACACAATATGATCGAATCTTACGTGCTGATCAAAATTGGGAAAAAAATCGTTTTTGGAAAAGTGTTTGGAAAAAACGCCATCAATTTTGGTTAACAAACTAAATTTTGACAGCTCAGTTAAATAATAATAATAATTTTTATTTATTAACCGAAGCCTACTAGGTACAATGTCATATTTGAATTATAAAACACGAAGGCTTATTGGAAAATAAAATTTAATATTCAATAATAACACGTGTACAGTAGAAACCGTCAATATATGAACGTGACTCATCGGGTGCCGAACATATCTCAGACATGCTAGCAGTAATGTTTTACTTGTCTTGTACATTCGATGCAGCGGTAAATGTAATCACACGTAGGTTTTTAAGCATCCGGTCTAAAATGCGCCATCTGTGATGTAAAACTGCCTAGGTGTTGGACAAAGATGGACATATGACGCTTGTGTCCTAGCTTGTTACTTAATTTTATTGGAAGTCAGTAGAGTTCGTGTTTTAGGAATTTATTTTATTTTATTACATAGTAAGGCAACCAACTTTACCGTCGGCCATTTGTTTTTATATGTCATATGATCTTTGTTTTTGCATATCTTGTTTCTACTGTGTGTTTACGGATTAATAATCGTTTTAAACGTTGTAGTGGCAGTGGTTTATATTATGTAACACAGGTAGATGTATAAAAATCCTTACCTAGAAATTCTAGGCTAGAATACAAAAATATTTTTATTATACATATAAATTTTGTACTAGTATTAGTTTAATACATTCTGAAGAAGCTACTGTGTAGCGAAACAATTGTCAATATTTAATAAATTTCGTGAAACTAACGCAAGTTGTTTTTATATCCACACAATTTAAATATCTTTCACTTTGTACCTGACCTGCGTAAACATTTTTGTTTTTTGTCACCAATTCTGAAATATTTGCGTTTACAGTTAAAAGAATAGTATATTCTGTAACAAGTTTGACGGTTTCACGAGAGGGGAATATGCAATTCCAAACGTGTTTCAGACTATACTAAGAATTTAATTGGAAGAAAGTGAGGTTGGGTCGGTCTAAAAATTTGTTATTAAAATCAGAGATGTCGCCACAAGTGTACGTTCTGTAATCAGATGATAGAATATTTCATTAAAGTTAAAAGAAAGGTTTATTTATTAATTAGTTTCTAAGAAAATTACAGTTTATTTAATTATCGTAGATGTTAATTATGTTAGATGTTAATTATTTAACTTTAAAAGCAAATATATCATAAGTATAGCAACCAACATTACACTCAAATTTTTTTACAAACGAGACTGCACTGGACCGTGACCTTCGATAGATTGCTTCGTACGAATGTGTCGGATGAGTCACGTTCATATATTGACGGTTTCTACTGTACACGGTATACATCACAATTAAAAACATATAAAAAAAATATTACAAAAAACAGTAAAATATTTCAAGTATTAATAATTATTAATAAAAGCATTATAAACAAACGATAAAATTATAGCAGAACTTTGGAAATCTTTCAAGTTTATCCACAAATGAAGAAAAGCGTGATATGCTTCAGATTTATTACACCTCGCATAGAAATGCGCAAATTACTTCCGAAACTTATCTCCAGTTGTACGAGCCCTAACCACATAATGTTCGGACACTTCATAATTTATACAGAAATTTTTTTCGTGAATACTATCTCAAAATTATTAGAAGTTATGAAAAATTCAGCTTATTTTGGCATATACCCCTCGAAGCGATTTTTATTTTTAAAAAGTTTACCTTTTATTTTTAGCTTTTAAAAAAAGGCTAACTTTTTAACTTTTTTTTGCATGAGTAAAAAAAGTTATAAATGGGCCCATTAAAAAGAACATAAAATATTATACAAACCCTAAAAATTTGGTAAAAATTGTATAAATAATAAGAAAGTTATAGCGATATATATATCTGCAAAATCTCCCGTTTCCTAAGAAAATTGCAAAAACTCTTTAAAAATAGCATTTTTAAATTACTTATACTTTTTTATAACTTATTTATTTTATCTGTCCCAAATTACGCATGCGCGGTCATTACTACTACTTCTACTTTTTAGAACTATAGTATATATAAATATATAAATTGTAAAAATTAGCTACGGCTACTCCTACTGCTACTACTACTCTTACTGCTACTCCTACTTTTTAGAATTATAAATCCGGCTTTAAATCAAAGTAAAAATTGAAATCAACCAATCACTGCAGTGATACCTAACAACGTGAATAATACAGTGAAAAAATCTACCAACAACAACTTATCAATAACAATTCAAAATATGTTTTATTATGTGTGGTGTTACCTTTAATCTATGATACTTTAAAAAAATAGATAAAACCATAGATTAGGTACACTCTACATTGTAGATTATAAAAAAATATATTATTTACAAGGATATTTTTCTTTAAAGGTAAAAGTTAAATAAGAAAATATTGTGCATGTATTAATTTTATTTAAGCTTAACAAGTTACCTATTTTATGTATTTATACAACTTTAATTTGCTTTGAATTATATCCCCCTCTGATGGAAACATTAAAACATTGAAAATCATTAACATGGATTCTCACATTCCCTTTTATTTTAAACCCTGGATCTAGGGCCTCCTCTTTTAAACAAGTTGATATCATTGATTCATCCACAGAAGAGTATAAACTATTAATGTTTTCATAAAAACCAACTTTGTAAAAATACTCACTGGGGTCTTCAATAGGGCAAATCAATTCAGCAGCAAAATAAACATATGAATTTTCAGTATGATACGATATTCTGAATAGTTTTGAATCATATACCTTATACCCATGACATTTTGAATAGTATTGGATCTTATAACGTTTGTCCTTTAGTATGCAATCTCTATGTTTGGCTTCCACATGTTTTGATATATCATTTGTGTGTAGAAATTCTGGGCAAATCGGGCATTTGTGTTTGTTAACCATACAGGATTCTTCATGTTTCTTGATTTCACCTTCAACTCCAGTGACTTTGCACCCAGATATTTTAAACTTGCAGGGATATTTTACGTTGCTTGTAAATGATTCCAAACCGTAGTTTCTAACACTGCCCAATTCTCCCCTGCATGTAGGGCATGACCTTACATTTCCACGACATTTGTTGCAAATGCTATGTCCACTATTGCACTGATATATCGGAGGTCTCATTACGCTCATGCATACGGGACATTGCAACAATTTCAGCATATTCTCATCTAGTCCATTGGGATTCAAATTAAATTCGTTCGAGATCATATTATTTTCATCTGCAAGATGTTTCAACAGGTTGATGTCTACCACAGTCGCGTTGGGGTTTTTATTAAGGTTTTGTTCATCATAAAAACCATTCAGTTTGGTTAGAGTACCTATGGTCTTTAACACTAAATCGTTTGAGTGTTTGGATACTTTTGAGGATGTGAATGTTTGAATACGTTTGTGCACCACTGTATATTCCATATTTTCTTCAGATTTTCCAACTGGAGTTAAAGAGTAATAAAATTTATCACCAACAACTGAAGTCTTCAAAAGGCAGTTTCGATAATCATCAGATAATAACATTACGTTGAAAGTTTCTGCCAAGGATGTTTCAACGTTAAAAATATTGTTTTCACTTTTAACCACCTGATCCTGATGATTTCTTAAAATATGTCCGCTGAATTCCAAAGTGTTTCCTCTCCAATCACAACTTTCAAGATTAAATTTTGTCATCGGGCACGGTTTAACCTTGAAATCGCAAGTACCATTAATGTGCTTGGAATACTTTTTGTACTCCACCCTTTCGTCGCAGCCCTTGGATTTAAACTTGCACGGCAATATCAGCTTGGCTATAATTAACATGAGAGCCGAGTTTAATATTGCCTTCGATTTTATTTCCTTTTGGCACTTTTCTTTCAAACAAATTGCACACACATTTCCTTTACCTTTGACAAGGAAAATATCGGACGTGCAAAGTTCATCGCAAATATTACAGTGGAATATTTTCTGTCTAAAAAGATCGTCAGTAAACTGATTCATCGTTTCATTGGCCATCTTGCCTGAAAATAAAATTAATTATCGGTAAGTAATATCATACGCTAAATAAGTATCAGGTTTTCGCAACGCGTGCGTCATCTGGTGGACTTCGATAGCATTGCGTGAATTTAAGAATTGTCAACAATACATTAAAGCACAGATTATACATACATACATTTTAAATAAATAGGTCGTTTTTTCAGAAAAGAGAGGAAGGCAGAAGTCTTACTCGACCCATTTTGTTCAATTGCACAGCCAAATCGCGCACGTTATTTGTGTTTTACGTTGCAAGGAAAAAACTAAAAACTTTTGCATTGGATCCTTTGGCAAAACATGTTTTGCCAAAGGATCCAATTCGGTAAGTACATTTGTTGGTGCAGAATTAACCAATGATAACTTTACCTAATATAATTTATATTTAAGTTTGGACATTTTTTAAAAAATTTTAAAAAATAATTTTTGCACAAACATAACCGTAAAATCAACCATATTTTTATTTGACTTCTCTAAAAAACGCCGACAACTGCATTTTAAACAACAAAATATACCTACCTACGAATTCATTGCAACATATTATATAATATTATATATAATACATAATATTAGGGATGCACCGGAATTCCGGCGGTACCACTAAATCCGGATCGCTCCGGCCGGATCGCTTTCCAGATATATTTTGTAATTGGTCAACAGTGAAGCGTGTGCGTGTTTCCTTGCCTATGATAGACCGGCGGCTGTGGTTCCCCGACTTCTTTTTAATTTTTTTATTATTGGCAGGTGGCTGCTATTCTCCAATTGAATGAGTAGAATTGTTTTAATTTTGTTAACGCTAATTAAAAATTAATATTTAAATAAACAGTAATTTCTATCTATGTAAAATTAATAGTAATAAACACTCTGCATACTGTAGCTAGTTTAAAAAAAGGTAAAAATAAATCAGCCTCAATATTTTCAATGTTTTACCTATAAAAATAGGCATGCACATACATTTTAAATTTAGGTCCCGATCCGGCCGGAATTCCGGCGATCCGGTCCGGCCAGCGGCCGAAATTCCGGTTCCGGCCGGATCGGCAAAATACCCGATCCGGTGCATCCCTACATAATATAATGGTATTTTACCGTTGAGTACCTAATGCTAAATGCTGTTTAAATTATTATTATTATTATTATTTGTTTGACTTTTACTGAATTGAAATGTTTACACTTTTCACGTTAATCACTACTAAAATGTGTATGTATTTATTGTATCTAATAGGTACAATTTATATTTACAGAGACTGTATGCAATTTATTTCTTCATTCGGATTAACTCAACCCAGGATTTCCTCTCGAAATACACCCAACAACATAACAAATCGAGCCACGGTTGTTTTTCCGATATTTTTTAACATTTTCCGGCTTTATTCTCAAAAACACTCGTTTGTAACATAAGCGTTTGACAGCTGAATATTAAAAGTTGTACTTTTGTTACAATGATAACAGCCGAGTGGCGCTACTATAGCTCTTATACGCTAAAGAAGTATCGCTATAGCGATACCTACTTCTTTGGCGTATAAGAGCATCTAATTTTTCCGAAAAAAAATCAAAAAAACACGTTGATAGGTAATAATTTACGCCGTGACTAAAAGTACACCGGGAGTACGGGCATCAGGTTTGTGCGCATGCGTGTTTCCATCCCAGCTGATGATAAAATTTCGGATTTATTAGTTGAGCTTAAATTGGTACACTAAGACCCAGTTGTATGTTCTGTGTGTATAACAGTTGGTAAACAGCTGGTTAACTCTTGATAATAATTATGTAATTATTAAAATAAGCTAACTTTCAAGTTGTATAAACATTGATTAAAATTTAAATAAGTGATTGAAATACAATTAACAACAAAATTAATGAAATGTCAGTATGAATTACCCAAACCAACCCAAACTCAACAACCCAACCGACCCCGCCCGGGCCCTCCGCCCCATTGAGCGCGAAATTGAGCGACCATTTAATATTATACAATTGACAAATATAAAAATTTCCTAAATTTATTTCCACCCAGTGTACTTCTACTAGAAGTCTTCTAGTCACTTTGAATATTTTATCCCTTATTTTAACAAAATCCACAAATGTGTATAAAATATTGACCACATGTGTGTGGTACCTTTATAATAAATTCAACAAGTGCTTGCATTTTTAAAAAATATACTTTTTTCTCTACTTTTATTTTAACTACAAATAATCATTAATGGTTATAGACTCACTTAAAATAAGAAATAAAATAAAAAGTTGAAACTGTGTTGCTCCTTGTTTCTTATTTTAAGTGAGCATGAATAAGCCTTATCCGAAGTTTTATAAAAAAAATACACACACATTTCTTTTGATGGGCAGTACCTATGGATTAGGACACGCGTATATTTAAAAGTGCAAACTATAGCTATGTATATATAGAAAACAATTAAAAGACTTACCATTCAAGTTATAACTAAATTAACACTTCATTAAATCAAAATACAAAAATAAATGTTATTCTAACAGATCTTAGAGGTTAATCTTTCGCACAGATTATAAAGAATGATCTTTCGTAGGTATAAAACACAGAGGTATAAAAACAACTTTGTGCACTAAACAGTGTTGCCAATGCCAATATTTCAAATTCCTCAAAAAAATTCAGTCCCAAAATATATCAAGAAAAAAAATGTCCTAATAAAAATCTATAATGTTAATTCAATATATTTTATTTTGCATCTATATATTTTGAGTATATATATATATCGGTGCATAGGCAACCTGTTCAAAGATTTGCGATGTTTATATCACGAATTATCAATATATTATATTATATATTATATTTATAAATGTATAGAAAACACAAAATAGGTATATAAATAAATTATAATAAAACATATAAAATATAACAAAACAAATAAAATCCAACAAAACAAATAGTACACCTGTAATATAACATATAAAACATAACGAAAAAAATTAAATTCAACAAAACATATACATATATATAATACATCTATAATAAAACCAATAAAATCCAACAAAATATAGAAAATCAAACAAAACATATGAAAGCCAACAAAATATTAAAACTCGGGTTCCTCACTGGACCGTTTGAGAACGCTCGACGCACAAGTTTCAAAAAGACTAATATTAGGAGATTTTTCGCCAATGCGGTAAGTTTTTAAGGTTTTCTTTAAACCCTTTTACTTTTTAATTTTAATTTATAGCTTTATTTGGAAACGATGAAGTTGAATCTGCCAAGGATGGATGAAGTTACAACATTTTTCAGGGATTTGATGCACGACTTCGCTGAAGGGGTTCTATTAGTCTTCTTGAAACTTGTGCGTCGAGCGCCCTCACACAGTGAAGTGAGGAACCCGAGTTTTCATATTTTGTTGGCTTTTATAATATAAAAGCAATATTATGTTTTGTTTAATTTTCTATATTTTGTTGGATTTTATTTGTTTTATTTTTTGTTTGATTTTATTTGTTTTGTTACAGGTGTGTATTACATGTTTTGTTGAATTTTATTTTTTTCGTTATGTTTTATATGTTTTTTTATATTTTATATACCTATTTTGTGAGAGATATTATATTTATTTTCTACACTTCTATTTTGACGCAAACGGCCCCTCATAATACTGAGACGAACCCAATGAAACATGGGCAATGATATATGGCCTTGAAATTGTTTTGTGTTTAACGCAATTGCGTTGGTATTAATGTATACATTTTTTTATAAAGTATTGTTTGAAAATCTTTTATAACCTATTAAGTTGTTTTTCTATTATTTAACGCAAAAAATAACATAGGTAATAGTATATTAAAGAACTATATATAGTTCTTTAATATACTATTAACTATAGTTCATTATAATGTCATAAGACGTCATTTTGTCGCACGAGGACAATTTATAAAACGAACGACGAAGGAGCCAGTTTTGTAATGGACGAGTGCGAAAAAAGCTCTTATGACATGAGTTCTTTATGCTATTTTACAAAAATAGCATAAAGAATTCTTTAGAATTTAAATTAATTTTATACCTTATTTAGTCGAATTTCACTTTAGATAGTTGGTATTAAAGTCATTGGTTTGAAGGGTTAATGTCAAAATCGATTCGCCATGCCGTCCTTAATTTACTTATTTACAATAAGCGGCAGTTATAACATTAATTAATGTTAAAGAAGAAAAAGAAAGAAAAAAAGGATTTTCTTTGGTGTAATGTATTGCCAGAAAAGTCTCGTAAGTACTAGAAAAATCATAAAAATATTAATATTAATAATAATTATTATTATTATTATTAGTATGCTGTTTAAAGAAGTCAACCTAAAATCAAAAGTACCTCATTACAGCACCGAAAGCGGTGTTACAATTCATTACAATTACAATTCATTAATGAAGTTATTATGAACGCAAAATAGATAAAAATAATTAGAAAACACATTATGGTTTTTAACAAATGCTTTATTCAATCCCTTGGAGGTAATTAATGTACAATATCTTTTAATAATATATAAAAATATGCCAAAATTTGATTAGCAGAAGTCGGTAATTTACCAACCTACCTATAGGTATATTTAGTACGGTTTGTTGACAAACATCATACCGAACGTTTGGCGAAGAGAAAAATTCTCGGCACTGCAGAGGAAAGGGGCGCGCCACCAAAAGACGTCGCCAAACCGAACCGGAAACCTTGTTGTGGAACTGAATAATAAAAAAAAACCGGTTTTCTTTATTATTTTTTACAGTTTTGGGTCATTTTAGCGCTTTAGAAAGTGAAATCAACAAATATGAATGCAAAAATCAATTTTGGCCATAATTTTTTAACTTTACTACGACTCAAGGTTTATGAGTGGAAGGTTAAAAAATTTAACAACCTTTTCTTTTGTCCTGGTAGTCCTCCCACCTCAATTCTTCGAAAGATTTTGCCGCGTATTCGTTCATGCAAGTAATGCTGTGGTTTTTGGTGTTGATAGTGCAAATTTGACCGTTTAGAACGGTAGAATCAGTGTCGGTAACCGGGTTAAACTTGACCGGTGTACTTATTTGTTGATTGCCAACGCCTGAAGAAAAAAAAACAAATTATAAAAAATGTATTTATTAATTTTACCTGCTGTATTGACATTTTCAACTTTTGAATAGATAATTATTATTAAACTGATTTTTTTAAGATATTTATGATTCCCCTAAAGCCGTTTTTAGATCGAAGAAGAAGAAGAAGAAGTTTGGGTAATTTTTGATTATTTTTTTTCTATATTTTGCTTATTTTTGTCTTCATTTATTTTAAATTCAGACAATTTTCGAAAAAAAAACACTCCAGCTGCTTTAAAAAATAAATACTTGGACATCTATACGAAAATAAAGGAACCATCCCAATACGCTAAAGAAGTATCTGGTGGACTTCAAATTTGAAGTCCACCAGATACTTCTTTAGCTGCTTTAAAGCATTGCGTGAATTTAAGAATCATCGTTTTTAAATAAATATGTAGTTTTTTCACAAAAGAGAGGAAGGCAGAAGTCTCTCGACAAATTTTGTTCAATTGCACAGCTAAATCGCGCACGTTATTTGTGTTTTACGTTGCAAGGTAAAAACTAAAAAACTGGTTTAGTAGGTACTCGATTTCGATTGATTATTCTTTATATCATTGATTAAGAAACTCAACGCTTAAATGCTTATATAGTTACGTTAGTGTGTGTATTTTATCTAAGGAATCATGGTGAATTATTGTGTTTTTAATTGTAAATAAAATACAAGAACTAAATCGTTGCCTTTCATGTTTTGCCAAAGGATCCAATTCGGTAAGTACATTTGTTGGTGCAGAATTATCTAATGATATCTTTACCTATTATAATTCATATTTAAGTTTGGACATTTTTAAGAAATTTGTAAAAAATAATTTTTGCACAAACATAACCTTAAAATCAACCATTTTTATGTTTGAGTTCTCTAAAAAACGCGGACAACTGCATTTTAAACAACAAAATTTACCTACGAATTCATGGCAACATAATATTATATATGATAGATAATATAAGTGGAGATATATAGTGGAGACTTTCTTAATCAACGCTTTTAATAATGCTAAATGCTGTTTAAATTTAGACGACTTATTTGTTACTTATGTGTATTTATTGTATCTATCTATTATAATAGGTACAATTTATATTTACAGAGACTATTTATTCATTCAGATTAACACTGTTTATTAGAAAACCGGCTTTATTCTCAAAAACACTCGTTTTAAACATAAAGCTGGATTTATAGTTTTAAAGGTAACGGTAGTGGCAGCGGTAAAGGTAGAGGTAAAGGTAGCGGTAGCGGTATCACTTTCTGCAATTTATAGTTCAGAAAGTAGCGGTAGCGGTACTGGTGGCGCATGCGTACTTTAATGCAGATTGTAATTTTGTTTGTAAAATTTGACAGCAAAAGGTTAAGTTTTCTACGAAAACATGGATTGCGAGGACAATGCTAGCACAGCTGTGCTTCTGGGCCATATGGCGTTGTGCGAAATATTATATAATAAACCCTGCAAAACAATATATTATGTTGTATTGCAGGGTTTAAAGTACGTTATGGGGGTCGTCAAGTACGTCGCTATAAAACGATGGAATTAAATCGGAAACGAGCTAAGAAAAGCCATTTCCAGTATTAAAAAAAAATAAAACTGACTGATAAAGAGCTGTTTTTTAAATACACAAATGACGGTGCCCGTTTTTTGACAATTTATCAAGTCTGGTTGCCCCTCGCATAAAAACTAAACTTACAAGGCGAGACTTCCAACTGAAAACTGCCGTGTGATTGGCTGGAGTAGCGGTTGAGGTAAGAAAAGATGAAAGATGGTCATCTCTTGCCGCTACGTTCTTGCCGCTACCTCTGACAACTATAAATTGTTTCATATAATAATCAATGCCGAACTCTACCGTTACCTTTAAAACCATAAATCCAGCTTAAGCGTTTGACAGCTAATTATTAAAAGTTTTACAGTTGTCAACTAACTTAAAGCTAACTCTTATGTTCTGTGAGCTAACTTCTGCCTGTGACTACAGCGCCATAATAATTATTATTCCATAGCTTTTCAATGTGTATTTAAAAGATTTCCTTTGCATCCAAACTTATAAAATCTACAATCTCTTAGTGAACTTACTTGCAATTGTCTGTTCTTTAATGGCAATATTTTTAAATCCCAACGGATTAGTATTCCAGAAACACATTTCTTCATGCTTCTTAATATCACCTTCGACTGCGTTTTCTTTGCACCCATATTTCTTAAACTTGCAGGGATATTTTACATTGGTTGTGAAATTCTCCATAAAGAAGTTCCTAACATTGGTCCATTCTCCCTGGCATGTAGGACATGCACTTACTTCTCCGCGACATACGATGCAAATGCTATGTCCACGATTGCACTGATATATCGGAGGTCTCATCACGCTCATACATACGGGACATTCCAACAATTTCAGCATATCCTCATCTATCCCTTTGGGATTTAAATTAAACTCGTTCGAAATCATATTTTTTGCGTCTGCAAGATGTTTCAGTGAGTCGATGTCTACCGCAGTCGCGTTGGGGTTAATATTCATATTTTCTTCATTATAAAAACCGTTCAGTTTGGTAAGTGTACCGACGGTTTTTACTGAATGGTTTGGTGTTTGAATACTTTTGTGCACCACTGAATATTCCGTATTTTCGTCGTTTTTATCAAGTGGATTTAAAGAATAATAAAATTTATTATCAACGATTGAAGTCTTTAAAAGACAGCTTTGGTAATCGTCGGATAACATCTTTACGTTGAAAGGTTCCGACAAGGACGTTTCAACTTTAAAAATATTGTTTACACTTTTAATAACTTTATCATGATGATTTTTTAAGAAATGTCCGCTAAATTCAGAAGTGCTCCCACACCAATCACAACCTTCCAGATTTTTCATCGGACACGGCTTCATCTTAAAATCGCAACTACTAATGTGCTTGGAATATTTTTTGGATGACACCCTTTTTTCGCAGCCCTTGGATTGAAACTTGCACGGCAATATCAGCTTGGCTATAATTAACATGAGAGCCGAGTTCAATATTGCCTTGGATTTCATTTCCTTTTGGCACTTTTCTTTCAAACAGTTTGCACACACATTTCCTTTACCTTTGACCAGGAAAATATCGGACGTGCAAAGTTCACCGCAAATCTGGCAGTGGAATATTTTCTCTTTTAAAAGATCATCAGTAAACTGATTCATCGTTTCGTTGGCCATCTAACCTAAAAACAAAATTAATTGTATCACATTGCCAAATTGGCAATGCCAATTGTAAACATAAAGTTCATTTTTTTTATCTGCACTGCGGCAACGTTGCAAATTTAGGGGTTTGGTTGGTAAATACGGAACCAAAATTGGTTGCAAAACAAACTAAACATTCGGGTTTTGTTCATCTAGCCGACTGCCATATGGTGCATGGTAGTATTGAACTATAAAATGGAGTAACAGCAATCCAAAATGTATTGTTATTTATTATCTCTGAATCTATGGAAAACGAACTGAATAAATATATGGATAAATTCCTTTTAAATGTATGTAATGATTGGAAGATATATATAGTATGAAAAAAAAAGAAACCAATGTGGAAGAAAAAGTGAAAAAAAATTAAGTTTTTTAAGAAAAATTATATGGATGATTTTAAGTGTAACAAATGTATGTATGGATAAAAAATGTTCGTGGAAAGAAAATATTGTATAAACGATTCAAGGGATGAATTAAACTCAGATTCTCCAAGGTGTATGTATCTTGCAGATTCTCTTGATTGAGACCCTTCTTCTTCTTCTTCTTCCTTGGTGGCCAAAGCCTTAATGGTCTCGGTTTCAATGTACCATTTTGGCCAGCAACAAGTTTTAATGTCCATGCGCTTCACGAAGCCATCCACCCATAGACACGTGAATTTTCCAAATCTTTGTACTCAATGTATTGTACAAATCACAAAATACCTCGCTAGAAGGTCAAACCTTGCGATATTGTCCAAAGATACAGGTATATTTCTATGTTTCACACTTTTTCATCGAGCGAGGTCCCAGAGATGAAAGTGCGATCCACCACACACGAAAGACAAAATCGAACTGATTGAGACCCTTGGTGAAATTTAAATTAAAACATAATAAGCTGGCTAAATCCCGGAAGGGAAAGCCCATTACACTGTAGAAGAAAAAGAAGAAGAAAACAAACTAAACTTGTGCTAAATGTAATTATAATGTAATTGTGGTTATGTTTTAATTATTCTAGTTAAAAATGCAATTAATTTGGCTTTGGTAGTGTGTAGATAAGTAAAATCATATAAAAAAGTAGTTAAATATAGGCGACTACTGCTCAGGAGAGACAAAGTATTCCCAGCGGATAGTAATTATAATCTTCGCTTTCAAAAGAATATACCTATATAAAAGAAATTAAAATTGTATGTGAACACACGTGAATGTTGTCCAATCATTGGACTCCAATGGTGAATGGGTATTTTGTTAAAGCCACTGGACGTTAATACTTGGCTTAGTGGCTTAATAATAATTATAATGTATATAGGTATTGTCCAGGACTATTAATGCCAAATGATTTGGCATAACTTCATTAGGTCTTGCAGAAGCAGAAGTACCATTATTTAAATACTAAAAATACTAAATCAAACGAAAACTTTAAACCAGAGTCTCTGCTTTAAACTGTACAACTTTTTGTTTTGCTCCACCTGGCAACACTGTAGCCTACACAGGACAGCTTATCACCCGATGTTTTAAAAAAAATACACACGAATTTCTTCTGATAGTGCAGTACGATTAAAAGACTTACCTGACAAAATGTAACACTTCCAACGAATCAAAGTATAAGAAATAAATGTTGTTTTATTTTGAAAACAACTTGTTGACATGCAAAACCACAGATTGTGTTTAAGTGGGCGGTGACCAGTGTTGCCAGTAGTAGAAAAATTAAAGTACTGAAATGGCAATAAAAACGTATTGAATTTGAAAGATAACGTACTGACTTTGGGTTTTTCTCCAATTTTGAGAAATAAACATTAAACTTATATGAACGTAATTTTATTTTTGTAGGCGACTTATTTAAGTTGGTGGTAGTGTAGAGCGGAAATAAATAAAGTTGGCAACACTGTTAAAATGACAGAATGTAATGGCGACTGATTTGTATGAAAACTTAATTTTGATATTTATTATTAAACTGTTTAAAACGAACTAAAGTTTGACAATTGTCTGCAGATATAATATATTATATATATATATATATATTATTATATAATATATTAACATATTATGTAGACCACAATCCAATGTGTGGATTGTGATGTGACCAAATGCACAAAAATTTTACTTATTTGGCACTATACACTTTGGAATTTCATTAAATGCAGTATTTATCCTAGGGTATTTATACTCCTAAACTTTTAAACCAACCATTGTTACTGTGATACTATAAAGATTTATAAACTTTTAACCCTTAAACATAAACGGTAACAGTATAAATATTATTTCTTTCATTGACTATACTTTGACAGATACATAACCTGAAAAGCCTTAAATGACAAATTTTCAAAAGACTGCGTCACGTGGTGGGACTTTGAAGTGTGGATCCACATGTGTGGAAGTACTATCGCTAACAAAAAAAACTCATACAGCTGTATTGTGGCTGTGTGAATAAAACTTTTCCGTCAATGTCAAGCTGACATCGAGCTTTGTCACATCCATTATGACTTTTTTAACAACATTTTCAACCAAACAATGCAGACGAACTCTGGCAAGCCATTGAAGCCATTTGGAACGAGATAAAGCATGCAAGACGGCGACTTCCATGCTTTGCCGTTTGCGGGCAGTAATTGACAAAAACAGAGGGATGACGAAATATTATTTTTTTTTTCAAACTTCAACCTAACTTTGTATTTAATTTTAGACCTTTCAAATGTGACGTATCATGTTAAAAGCCATAATTACTCCAACGAAATTATAGAAAATCAGGAACACTAGATTTTTAGGCTGTATGAGTTTATTTTGTTATCGATAGTATGTGTGTGGATCATAGTACATGGTACATTGTCTCAAAGACCATTAAGGCGTCGAGCCACCAAGAAAGAAGAAGAAGAATTAAGCAAAATAAATAAAGAATTATGACATAACACAACAAAAGTCAAGAAACATAAATTAGATTAAATACATTCAAAATTACCGCGATAAAAATTTGACGTGTCCAAAAATCAACAAAACATTGCGATAATGTGAATGCATTACATTGCTGACGGTTCAAAAGGACTAAATGATTTTATCAAAGTTTCTCCTGATTTCGTTCGAATACACGAACGAGTTGTTTATTGCTCTAAGTGCCGGATTACCAGGTACCTTAGTTTTAATACACCATGGCTTAAAAACGAACCAAACAGCAAGATCCTTTCTTGTTGCTAGTCTCACTTTATTAAGCTTTATGTTTGTGGCCAGAGATAGGAGAAGGAGTAAACCAAGCAGAAGGAAAGTTATTTTGATAAGCGGGTGTGATACTGGTTTGGGGTTTTCATTGGCCCAGCATATTACTGGATGCGGGTACACTGTATTTGCTGGATTTTTCAGCTTGGAATCTGAAGGAGCTAAGCAGATTAAACAAAGTTATGATCAAAATGTAATTAGTTTTAGTTTGGATATAACAAAGGAGGAATCTATTAAAAAAGCCGTTATGACTTTGGAGAATTTTCTTCTCAATAACCCAAAATATAGTAAGTTTTATATGAAAATATCTAATGTGTATTACATTACATTACTATAAGTTAATATGTTGTGTTTAAGGTCTCTATGCATTAATAAATAATGCAGGGGTTATGGTTTTTGGAGAATTTGAGTGGCTGACTGAAAAATTAATAGAAAATCAAATAAATGTTAACTTATGTGGCACTATGAGGCTTACCAAGGCATTTTGCCCCATGCTTAGAAAGTATCAAGGTAAAAAACATGCCTTAAATTAGTACTCTTAATCACAATCTTGATATTGAACATTTTTATAATACCTACCCTAAAAATAAAAACCCAATACCTACCTACAAACCAAAGTTTATGAAACTTTACTGTTAAATTTTTGGACTTTGGAATGCTGAAACCAAAGAAAAAGAAACAAAAAATCCCATCCCTAAGCTCAAATTTTAAAATTTTTGCAGTATACCCTCATTTCTCATGCATTTTGTTTATTATTGTATCACTACATGGCAAAGCCAATAAAAATATAATCAACGAATATATTATTTTGGAATTTGATTATTTAGTTTTTTATGTTTTGGCCTTTATTCTGTCATTTTGATAAACTTAAAAAAGACAAAAATATATTTATTGCTTTTTAAATGGAGGCCTATTTCTTCTTCTTCTTCTCTGGTTTGATTGGCCTTTCCCTTCCGGGATTTAGCCAGCTGTATTTTATTATTATTATACTGGAAAAAGCGAGTCTAGGATAACCTATAGCTTCTCCTTTTCTTCTTGGTTTTATAGTTTATTAATTATTATTATTTATGTCACTTTTAGATTCTTTTTTCACTTATAGTCTTTTTATTCACTTATGTCCATCACTATCATTTTTGTCTTTTTTAGAGTTTATTCAATAAAGCTTATATCAGCAGCGGAAGTCACTTTTATTACACTTTTACACATACAAAATCACGATATTAGCAGCGGAAGTTACGAGGCAAAAAAAATTAAAAAAAAACCGACTAAGCACCACATGGCTGTTTGCAGAAATATATTCAGTCCTTCAATATAACGATCATCCTTTGTGGAAATCCCTTGCATCTTTACAAATCTATTGTAGATTTTGTGGTTTCAACAATTATCAACTTATTTATGGCATTAATAAATTTTATGCGATGAGTTTCATATTATCCACTCAAGGATAGCCGATCCATCTACTTAAGCATGCTTATCTGCAGATAACACAAAACTGTGGAGGCCTATTTGGTCACGTTTGAAAAAGAATTACCCATACTCAGTGTTGCCACCCCCGTTTTCTTTAAAATTCCCCAGGACGGTGCTAAAAATTCCCTATTTTAACCGAAAATTCCCTTTCGATTTTTTTGATTATAAAAAAAATCTTTTTAACATAAAATTACTTTTAATAAAAAATAGAAATATAATTTAAAATTAACATAATTGTTGTCAACACTTAAAATATACATAAAGTTCGGGCTTCTTGTTTAGCGACCATTCCAAGCCCATGGACAGGACACATCAGAAACATGTCTAAATATATTCTTGTTACTTCCTTAAGTTTACTTATTTTTTCTACGAGTATTTATGAGAAGTATTAGCCAAATTTGGCTAATACTTCTCATAAATACTCGTAGAAAAAATAAGTAAACTTAAGGAAGTAACAAGAATATATTTAGACATGTTTCTGATGTGTCCTGTCCATGGGCTTGGAATGGCCGTTAGGCTCCATGATTATTAAAATTAATCACTGACAGCACGAAATATAAGACCAGGTTTGCCACACTTTCTTTTTGACGAGTGCCGCTGAAGTCGCCGCTATTAATTTAAACAATAAAATTAACTAAATATAAAAAAAGAGAATAAGTCTTAAATAGGGTAGACTCTTACTGACCAGCTAAAAGTTTTTTATTGTTAATTCCCTAATATTCACATTTTACATAAAATATTCCCTCCTTCCCTTTCGAGAACCACAATTCCCGAAAAAGGGAAAATTCCCTGCAGTTGGCAACACTGCCCATACTTATATTATAATTATAAATATAAAATGAATACAATAGCCTTGTTTCTATAGCTCAGCATACCGAGCATTTGGACTGTCGAATGGTCGTCAGGGACATGCACAATACCAAATCCGTATGCCCAATACGAAATTTTTTCGCGATTTTACTATTGCGCATGTCCTTGAAGTCCATTTAAAGCCTGATTTATAGATTGCCTTCCTTCCTCCCGTAAAAGATGAACAATACGAAAATTGTAGTGCCATTTATAGATTCCCGTACACATGCGTGCAAAATGTTGCTGTTCCGTAGGTATGCATTTACTCTCCGCACGTAAATCGATTTTATATATTAAATAAGGCCGTTGCTAGTCGTCCGTATAATCGGACGAATAAAAAATATTAATCGTCCGATTATCGGACTCAAACTCAACAACACAACCCAACCGACCCCGCCCCATTGGCCCCCCCCGCCCCATTGAACAAAAAACCCAACTAAAATGGGCAAATTTATGTTACGATAAAAATAAAACACTTTTTAACAAAGCAACAACAAATTTATGAAATAAAAAAAGTTCGACAACTTCTAGTAGATTTTATGTTACGATAAAACTAAAACAAACCAACCAACCCAACCCAACCGAACACTGTTTAACAAAGAAACAACAAATTTATGAAATAAAAAAATAAAAAAAATTCGACAGCTTCTTAGTATCGAATCCGGGACCTCTCGCATGCCAAGCGAACGCCCTACCATATAAGCTATCTAGCTTGTTGTCAAATATTAAACGGTCGGTGAACAAAAGCGGATTATAATTATGACGTAACTAACGTGCCTTCTCGGAGGACTAGCTTCATTTTATTCGTCCGATGATCGGACTATTAGACAAGTCGATTAAATAATTTATGATATATACCCAGATAACACAATACATGCCAGAAACATACAATTTATGTACTATTTATGCCCCAATGTTTCGGACTTAAATCGTATATCCCTGCGATGTTTCCTCAGTAACATTTCTGGTGTGATTTCCCCAAGATGTTGCATAAACATTTTAAATAGCTGATATTGGTACAAATATAAAATAAATTTATATCAAAACACATAACACACTATTAAAAAAATAACCAATCAATTTTTAGCAAAACACCAAATTATTATACTTTGTAATTTTTAAATTGAACGCGAACAATGACGTCATACTAGTTACTTTTTAAGTGATTGTTACCTGGGGAATTTTGTTTTGTTTTGTAACCAACTTGTTACAAATATTAAATAAATTTATATCAAAACACATAACAAAAAATAACCTATCAATTTAGCAAAAACGCCAAGATGTTGCATAAACATTTTAAATAGCTGATATTGGTACAAATATAAAATAAATTTATATCAAAACACATAACACACTCTATTAAAAAAATAACCAATCAATTTTTAGCAAAACACCAAATTATTATACTTTGTAATTTTTAAATTGACCGCGAAAAATGACCTCGTACTAGTTACTTTTTAAGTGATTTTTACCTGGGGAATTTTGTTTTGTTTTGTAACCAACTTGTTACAAATATTAAATAAATTTATATCAAAACTATATACCTATAGATATATGATCAAAACACATAACACACTTTATTAAAAAAAAATAACCTATCAATTTAGCAAAACCACCAAATTCTTATAATATCAATAACTTTGTAATTTTTAAATTGACCGCGAACAATGTCGTCATACTAGATATTTTTTAATTGATTGTTACCTGGGGAATTTTGTTTTGTAACCAACGGCATCTCTGTAGGTTCGCGGCTTTTATTGCCAAGAATGACATTTCGTGAAAATCGAGAACGTTCTGTGTCGAGAATTTTCTTCTCGTTTTATAATGTGATCACAGTAATTTAAGACTTAAATTAAATTTTAAGTTGTACACTTTAAGTTATTGTTTTGTGTGGGTGGCCTGAGGCGTCTTTTTTGGTAAGTAAATTATGATGATTTGGTAAGAAAACATTATAAATATTATTATAATTCAATTCTATATACAGGGTGTCCGGGAAAAGGAGGTCAATCCGTTAACCATATATTCCTTGAGTTAAAACAATAAGACTTTCATAATACCATTTTTCAATTTAGAGCTTCATGTTCTATATACAGGGCGACAAAGTTTGAAATTTAAAACTGATTTTTTTTAATAATTCGAGTAATTGATAAGATATTAAGTTTAAATTCGGTACACTACTTCAACATAAATAGTTACATTTTTGGAGACCAAAAAAACAAAAAACAATTGTCAAATAATCAAAATAGGGGGGGTCCAGTACTCACTGACTCCCCCTATTTTTTAGTACGAGCGCCAATGACTTCCAAACGGTATTTTTTCAGGTAATCATTTATTGTTAAAAAAATTTTGTCTCTTATAAAATTTTGAAAAAATGATTTGTTTTAGAGATAATTTGTAAAGTATGGGTCAGTCCATATCAAATCAACCAAAGGTTCTTCCCCCACCATCTCCGATTTTGATAATTTTTGGTAAATTTGTTTACCTCACTAAAAAACTCAAAAATCCCATATATGAATTTTTTTTTATAGGTGGTTTTTGTTTTATTGACTTTTGAAAATTCCGATAAATTTGGGTCTTGCACGTACTTACAAAAATAGCGATATCTCGTAAACTATTAAAAGTAGAAAGGTGAGTGGTGGCTTATTTTAAAGGCCTATTAGAGACCTTTTTTATGATATATCACATGACCTAAATTTTTTCAAAAAAAAAATTAAATTTCGAAAATTTGATATGGACTGACCCATACTTTACAAATTATCTCTAAAACAAATCATTTTATCAAAATTTTATAAGAGACAAAAAATGTTCAACAATAAATGATTACCTGAAAAAATACCATTTGGAAGTCATTGGCGCACGTACTAAAAAATAGGGGGAGTCAGTGAGTACTGGACCCCCCTATATTGATTATTTGACAATTGTTTTTTGTTTTGTTGGTCTCCAAAAATGTAACTATTTATGATGAAGTAGTGTACCAAATTTAAACTTAATATCTTATCAATTACTCGATTTATTAAAAAAATTAGTTTTAAATTTCAAACTTTGTCGCCCTGTATATCGAACATGAAGCTCTAAATTGAAAAATGGTATTATGAAAGTCTTATTGTTTTAACTCAAGGAATATATGGTTAACGGATTGACCTCCTTTTCCCGGACACCCTGTATAGAACTAATATATTAGTTTCTTTTTTAAGGTTTTATTTTTTGTGGGTATTGGTGGCAATAACCTGTATGATTTTATTTCAGGTCGCACAACAGTTTTCCTTTATTGGGAAAAAGGGCAAAAAAGATTTTAGCCAATCCAAGATTTCTAAAGCTGTTTTAGGTAATAACTCGTCGAATCCGCAAAACCTCGTATGAAAAAAACTGTAGTTTTACAGGAGACGAAAAAACCATTAAAAGCTCTCATATCTGGCTTTTTTTAAATATACCTATAGGACAAATTAATTTGTTTTTAAGGGTCTTGAGATTATCTTGGGAGATAAGAGGTTTTACAATCATGTGCATTATTATATCGACCCATGCAACGAAGACTATAGTAACTCAAAAAACGTGGGTTTTGACTTACTATATGGCATCAACAGATTTTTTCAAGCTCTATTTGGTGGAAGATTACAGTAACTCAGACATGAAACGATAGGCAACCAGTGAACAACTTCCCTGTATAGTAAGTGTAATAATCCACATTCCTACAGGCGAAAACTAAGTTGAGTTACTCTAGTCTACAATCAAAACTGAGTTACAATAGTCTTCGTTGTATGGGTAGATATGAGGTAAGTACTTAATTATGCAAAAAAAATCGATTTTGTCAAAAATGTCTCAAACGAGTTTTTGCGGATTCATCGATGAAGAGTTTTGTAAATTTTTATCTATTTATTTTTATTTATGCGTATTTTCAGTTATGTTAATGGTTTTATGTTAATTAAATGATAAAAGTATTTAATGTTTTTTATTTAAGGAAAAAACCTATAAAAATTTCATAAATGTTTTGTATGAAACATTTCTGTTATGTTCTGAAAGTAAATATAAAATGTCTTAAAGACATACCTACAACATTCTAAGATGATCTCAAAACATCCCAAAAGGATGGCCGAGGGACGTTAAAAAGGGCGACATGGTCATTGCCAGAAACATTTCTGGTATATCTGTGGGAAAATAGGGTCATTCCTGGGATGTTTCTATTGTCGCATGCATATGTTTCTGACATGTTTCTAGTATATACTTGTGTTATTAGGGTAACAATATCATATACAACAATATAGTATTTTTTTGGCATGTTGTAAAATGTATTGTTTTAGGTCGTGTTATTACAATAACAAGTCATTGCGCACAAGCAACACTGCCTGGTTTAAGTGTGTATGGGGCTACAAAAGCTGCCCTAGCTGGATGGAGCGACGGGTTACGAGTAGAACAAGCCAAATATGGGGTTAAAGTAGTGACATTTATCCCTGGATCTTTTCCGACTGAATCTCATATAATGTCAAAACAATTATCATATGTTCAAGAAATGCATGATAATTTTACTGAAGAACAACATCAATTTTACAGCAACTATTTTAAGAGGTATAATATTTATTTGTCTTACTTGTCTGGGCCGACTGTCCCCAAAAAATTGTCCAATTTTGGTTTGTATCAAGAGTTTGATAATGCTTTGTTGGAAGAAAGTCCAAAACCTCTGTACAAAGTTGAGAATTATCGCTACTGGTTTTACCATACTTTGTTTAAATATAGTCCATACTGTCTTAGAGATTATTTTGTTACAAAATTCATGCTTATGCCTGAGTATATACCTCCACAGTAAACATGTTTTTTTTTTAATAAAGTTTTTATTATTTGAACAGTATTTTATTGCATAAGTACCTTAAAATAACTTGCAAAAGAAGGGTAAACTTAAAATAAGTAACCATCACTGTAGTCTTATTACACAAGTGCTTATTACATAGACATAAAGTAAAGTTTTTGCCCTTAATACAACCAACTTTTAAATATCGTTTATTAATATCCATTTCCCCAACACATCCTCTTTTAGTGATTTTTTCCTTTCCTTTTTCATAGCTTCTTTTAAAGCAGAAATTGTTCACTCTTGCAGGGCATAATGTTGTATAATTGTGAAATTTTTTATAATTTCGTTTCTCCACAACCATTTTTAACTGCTCACTCTCACAGTTTGTTACGTTTTTGTCTTCGTCGCACTGATAGCACAACAGACTTGACACATTTTTTATATTTACTTCTTTAAATTGTACACATACTACTATTCTCATAAACATGAGCAATATAAAAACCAACAAAAAGTTATTTTTGACAATGTTGACATATTCAATTCAAAATTGACATCAAAAGATAATCTAAATTATTAATTTTACTCGCGTATAGTTTAGTTTAATGCTTTTAGACCGCACCCCGTATATTTAGAATACATTTGAACTATTTACTTGAGATAGCTGACAATCAGTAGGTCAAATGTTTGCAGCTATCTTTATGCCCGTTCAAAAGTAAGGTTAAAATGTCAAAAGCAGCAGCCCGTCTGAAAACCCTCAAAAAAGTGGTAGAAAAAATCCAACATGGTAAAATAAAAACAAACATACCCGCCGGATTGGCTGCGGCAGGCCCTCCACTAGGCCCAATGCTTGGACAAGTAATAACCCTTTTTTTATAATCCTGAATTTAATAGTATTTTTTCTAGAGGGGCATTAATATAGCAGCATTCTGTAAGGATTTTAACGAAAAAACTAAAGATTTAAAAGAAGGTATCCCCTTGCCATGCAGAATAACGGTGAATCCAGACCGTAGTTATAATTTAGTGATGCACAAACCTCCAGTCGTTTATTTTCTAAAACAAGCTGCAGGCATTCAGAGAGCGGCAATGCAACCTGGTAAAGAATTATCAGGTAAAGTGACGCTTAAACATATATACGAAATAGCAAGAATAAAACAAGAAGATCCAACATTGGAGGTAAAAAGTTTAGAGGAAATATGCTTTATGATTTGTGGGATTGCTAAATCCTGTGGCATCAAGATTGTTAATGAATTAGACCCTGTAGAATATGGGGAGTTTTTGAAGGAAAGGGCAGAAATCATAGAACAACAAAAGAAGGAATTACAACAAATTAAAGAAGCTAAGATGTTAAGAACAGGATAAGTCTATTGATAGTTTTTGTAAATAAATAGTTTTAGAAAGTTGTGCATTTTATTTAAAAAAAATAACAAGTTAGGGTTTATAATTTTATACAGGTTGCATGTCATGCTTTTTTTCCTTTTGAGATAACTTTTTTGTTCTTTTTTCTATGTGTTTCTGTAATTTGTTGGTCTTCTTTAATTCTTCATATTTTTCTATTAGGGACTCCAATTTTTTAACAGCTAAAACAAAAAATATATTGCTGTTTTGCAAAAAATACTATGTAATGTTAATTGTTATTAAAGCAAGATGTCTTAAATATGTAGATAAATATAACTTTACTTACATTTTTTCTTAAAAACTGGTTTTTCTCCCTTTTTAAGTTTATCCTTAATTTCCCTCCTTTCTTCCCTTATTTTTTCATGTTTTTTGTCCAAATTTTCCTGTTCTCTTATTTGATTTTCCATTCTTTGCAGTAAGTACTTAATTGTTCCCTTTCTTTGAGGATCTTTACAATCTTGTAACTCTTTCTCCAAAGCATCTTTCTCTTTTACCCTAACATCGTGTAAAAACTTATAATTTGTCTTAAAAGTCTTATCTTCAAATTGTCCACATAGTGGATCAAATCTGGGGTCCCTAGCTGTTTGTTTTTTCGCTACTGGCGCAACTGTAGGAAGTACTGTTTTTACTCTTATCTTGGAACTCATTTCTCGAGGCCTATTTTTATTTGCCCTCCTAAAATCCAATTTTTTCTTCTCTTTCTTTACACCTAAAACTGTGTTATTGTAGACTTTAGCGCCTACTTCTTCGCGCATTTTCAGCAAATCTTCAAAACTCATAGTAGACAATTTACTACGAATTCTTAGCTAAAAAAACTTTATTAGTACGTTTTATTTTTCAAATGGGGTTGATTTTTTACCCTTTCTTCTTCGGTAACATCCTCAACCTCCTCAGTTTCTTGGTCAACATCACTGTCACTATCAGAATCGCTAGACATCCTCAAAATACGCAAAATTAAACATTCAATACATGAATTAAGTATGGTTAATCTTCTTCTTCTCAAACATAACCTTACTTTTTATTTTCGTTTATTGGCAACATTGTTTTTTTAAGTAAGGTAAAGGCCATTACCCCTGCTTTAAAGAATATTGTTTTCACCAAGAAGACTCATGATTCATGAGCCTTGTGTTCGAAAGCAACTGCAGCTTCTGCTGACGCAACGAGACCATTGGCTGCCCATCAAATGCCAAAGATTCTTAGGCTAAGAATAACGGTAATTTTCATGATTTTTTTATTTAAAAAGAGTAGCTGTAAATTAGAGCCTCTAATACAAAAATGATAGAGGAATGACTTGCTTACTTTGGCGACACCCTGTATGCAGGTTTTTTTTTAAGGTTTATTGGCTTTTAGTCTTTTCGACTATTTAGCCAGCTGTATGCAGGTTATAACCTTGGCATTACGAAAAATCTAAAAAAAAATGGCGTAACCCTTTTGGTACTTCCATGCCTCAATAATGACTGTTACGTGGTGGAACTTCTGGATGTGGACCGCGGTCTTATAGACCGTGGTGTGTAGGACATTATAACTTATAATTTTAAACAAAAGAAATTAATTTATGTTAAAAATAAAAATGCAAAAAAATAACTGAATCGTCGCCTGGTAGGTCGACCTTACGGCCATGATAACATGGCCTACGATACATCATGGCGGGGTCGGTTGGGTTGGTTTGGTATGGCACAATGCAGTGTACCTGCATAACCAAGATGACAGCTAACCTTGATGAATACTTTGCTACATTTAGCCTCTAGTACAGTGTTGCCAGATATTTTAAAGTCGAGGCGCCAATTTTCGAGTGAGATATCGCCCAAAAGCGCCAACAAAATTGCAATCAGCGCCAACGTTAGATTGGTAAAATTAAAATTAAATTCTTGTAACGGTTAATTCGCAAAATGCATTAAAAATACTTAAACACACCAGTTTAATATTTTTATAGATAAAGACATTTTTCTTGATAGTAAACAATTTTATTATTATTTATGAAATATACAAAAATAAATGTTTAATATTATTACAAATAAATAAAAAAATAAATATCCTTTTTAAAATAAATAAATTTAAATATGGCCTACTGGCATTCAAAATAATAAGAAATAGAAACTGTTCCTATTCATTATTATTGTGAATGCTGGTAGGCTATATTTATTACTAATATTATTACTGTTAAGCCGGCTGCACAACATCCCAGTAAAGGGGAAAAAGTTAGCTCTCCAATCAGAACTCATATTTCAATTTCAATTTCTTTTACTTGAATTCAAATTTTGACCGCACTCACCTCTAATTATAAAATTAAATTTTTTTACACATATACACTTGATATACTTACCCAGTAAGTATATGTGTTTACACTACTTTAATACCATATATGATTATTATTTATGGTGATCGCTGTTAATATCTATAAGTATTAAATACAGGCAGCTGCAATCTGAAGATATATTTTAAGTAAAGTTTAATTCGAAGAATTCCCAAAAGAGATATTTATTTTTTTAGAAATCGCCCAAATTGCGGTTTGCGCTTTTTATAAAAAAACTAGGCGCAAATTATTTCTTAAAACCGCCCAATTGGCGCTAAAGCGCCCAATCTGGCAGCACTGCTCTAGTAGGTTACTTCTCCACTTCTCTTTATACAGCCTTCTTGGTTTTGACAACTCTTTTATAGGTTATGTTATGATTTTTTATTAATTTGAAAGATGTCTTCGAAGGGAAAATTCGCAAAAATGATTAACGACAATATGGTGTTGTTAACTGGTGTACCGCTGATTATTGGAATACATTGGGGCTGGTTAAAATTGCAAAAGGTTCCTCATTTGGTTGATCAAAGTCACCCAAAAGAATTGCCTATAGTTGCTGTAAGTTTTTTTTAAAATTATTTGTGTAGGGTTTTATGTATATTAAGTCCTTTTTAGGCCGCACATGCTTTCAAAGAAAAATTAACTGGGTCTAATGTTCAAAAGGGAGAATAGATATTTTTAAGTTATATTTATTTTTAGAATCTTGTAAATACATTTGCTATGTACGTGTTAAATAAAATATCTACATATTTTAAAAAATATTAGAAGGGAGAATAGTGATTTTAACGTTATATTTGTTTTTAGAATCTTGTAAATACATTTTCTACACATATGTTAACATTATTTATTAGTGGATGTTAAATAAAATTCCTACATATTTAAAAAAAATATTTATTACCATTCACATTATGTAAGACACTTTAAATTCGGTGAAAGTAGTTATTTTTGTGATATACAATTAACTTAAGTAATTACTTAAAAAAATTAAATTTTTGTCATATAGTTGGTAAATGGTCCACTTTGGACCTTACTTGTGAGATATTTGATGTTTTATAAGGGCTTGAGGGTTTATTTGAACTCATTATCATTGGCAGACCAATGCCATTTGTAGAATTCTAAAAATATAAAGTAAAATATTGTTATTGTGTCAACAAAAAACTTACTCTCGATTTATTTCCCCTTAATAACTTTTCAGTTATAATTTCATTTTCGTCGACTTTAAATTTAAAGTTTTGGAAATACGGATGAATAAGTAGTTGATCACAAGTCCATCTTTTTAATGGATCTTTGTCTAAACATTTCTAAAAATAATATGGGTTAATGTACAGGGTGTGATAATTATAAGTTTCTATAACCAGGTGTTCAAATATGTTTTGAGTTTTTGGACTCATCCATTGCCAACAAAATAAAAAATTCAATTTCATCCAGTAGGTACCTACCTAGATCCTGAGAATTTTGGAAACTGAATTTCCTTCTAAATCCAGTGGTTTTATATAAATAATTAAGTATATATTGGAGATAGGTATATTTAAAATTTTAAAAACATCTGCTTTGCGGTAATTTTTTTAATTTATAAATGTTTTACGGCAAAATTATATTTTTGACAAAAATTAAATGTGCGCTTAGCTAGATCATCAGCTATTAAAAATAATTTTTTTAAATTATATACCTACACATATTAAGTAAGTATTTCTCAAGAAAACTTTTTTTATTTTAGTTTACAAACAGTGTTTTTGTCAAAAAAAAACGTGTTTTTTATTCAAATACTCGCACATAGCTTTTTTTGTAATTTACAGGAGACCTATAATATATATTTTTTTAAATGCTAAAAACCTATGTAAGATTTTGCCAAAATAAAGTTTTTGTGTAAAACCACAACTTTTAAGTTATTAAGGAAGTAAAATTGCCTGCCTTGATTTTTTTTATAAAAAAATCGACTTTTTTATTAGGACTTTTAGTTCCGCAAAATAAAATATTATTTAAATAAAAAACAATATAAACTGTATTAAAAGCGTGTTTTAATTAAAAATCAATAAACAAAAACCAAATTTTCTTTTTGTGTTTATTATATTTAATTAGGTGCTAATATAATAGGATGCTAGCATGCTATTATTAAATAACAGCTAAATTTTACTTCAAACAATAAAAGCTTTTATATAAAAAGGTGAGAATATACATGGTTTTAAAATATAAGTAGGTTCACTTAATTATTATAATATATATAATATATTATATATATACATATATACAGTGTGTCGCACTTAAGATGAAGACACCCCCATATTTTCGCTATTTGAAGGAATAAAGGTTTGAATTTTTTCACATTCATACATGTTGATGGGTCACATTTTTTAAGGTACTCAACTAAAATCTGAACTTTAAACTTGGCCTACTACAAATTCACAAACAGGGCCAGTTCTCGATATTTTGCTTCGCGTTAGAGATATCGAAAAAAGTTATTGGAAAAAGTTGTTCAGAATATTATTCTAACCCCATATATCAATTTTTATAACAAAATTCGCATTTTTAATTTTTTTTTATTTTGGTCCACACAAAATTATTACAAGTTCATTTTTTAGTTTGATAATAAGGGAGCCATGGAAAGTAATAATTTGATACTAACTAATGTTTATGGCCATTAAATAAATAATTAAAACAATTTTTGGAAATTACAAATCAATTATAATTTATTAAATTAAGCCAATTATTATGAAAAATTGACTATATCTCAAAAACTGGTTTACTTTTAAAACTTTTGACTACATTTTTTGATTCAGCAGAACTGGGAAGTGTTGAAGAAATTAATAAAAAATATTTAGATTGGATCAAGGTGACCAAAAAAAGTGTTTTTTAATTTTGTGCATAAGCCTTTAGTACAAAGTACAAAAAATATTTTATATACCATTCCACCACCTGAATTGCATTTACTGTTATGTTCTGTTAATACAATTTATAACGCAATGCTAAAAGAACGAAGCCGCGGAGCAGTGGACCACGTAGAACGGCAAGCCTTGCATGGGGGTTCTTTTACTGGAAATGCATGTCACAAACTTTTATCAAATGTATACATTTGATAAAAGTTTGTGACAATTAATTTGCTAAGATCCATTTGCCCAAGTGAATGCATTACATTTGTTAAATGTCTTGAAAGCTTAAAAGAAGTTGTACATGCCTCCTTTAGCAGGGGATGGCTCCTAATTACAAAGACCTAATCCTTCAATTTTTTAGTTTTAAATGGAAAAACAACACCAAAACTTCACGCTATATCTTATCATGTCAAACAGTTCTGCGAAATAAAAAATGAAGGATTAGGTATTTATAATGAACAAGCTTCCGAATCGGTTTTTCTGAAGCTTGGCAAAGGTAAAAAGTACTTAAATTACATCCATCCATTTCATATAGGCTATTAAAATGTATTTGCTTTTAAATCTTTATTAGCTTAATTTGTTAGATGGAGGGTTTTTTGTTAACAATTATAAGGGTGGGTATATATATTTTTAACATAGTTTATGTGGTTTTAATTTTAATTATATTAAATTTTACAATAGTAAAATTTTAATAAGGAGAACCGATTTATATAAAATAAAAAAATCAAAGCAGGCAATTTTACTTCCTTAATAACTTGAATCTTACCAAGGTTTTTAGCCTTTAAAAAAACCTGATTTAAAATTATATTATAGGTCTCCTGTAAATTACAAAAAAAACTAGGTGCGAGTATTTGAATAAAAAAAAAACACGTTTTCTTTGACAAAATTTACCTTTACTCAGGCCCTGTAAGAGTTAGACACAAAAATAAAAAAGTTTTCTTGAGAATACTTAATATGTGTATATAATTAAAAAAAACTATTTTTTATAGCTGATGATCTAGCTAAGCGCACATTTAATTGTCAAAAATACAATTTTCGTTGCCGTAAAACATATTTTATTTTTATTTTATTTTATTTTATTATTTTTTTAATGTGCCTTCAACAGGCACCAGGCCCAATTACAGAAGTACACAATGACAAACACAAATACACAGCCCTGGTGGGATTCGAACCCACGACCTCTCGGCTTGTAGTCCGCAGTGCTAACTACTACTTACACCACCGAGGGGAAAAAAAAATTACCGCTAAAACTTGTTTTAACTTTTATTATTTCAAAGCAGATTTATGTAGATTCAAAATCTCCAATATGGGTGTTTAAATTTTTTTCAAACTGACGAACCGTGGATATAATAATAATTATTATAGAAATTATTATGATATAAATAATATACCTACTCACAGGCAAAATTCATCGAAAATTTGTGTGGATCGATTATAATCGATCCACACAAATTTTCGATGAATTTCAATCGCAAATAACTTTTTTATTTGATTTCGGATTTAAACAAATATTAAAGATTATTGTAGATACATTAATGAAGAATCGCTCACATTTTAAAAATTACTCAAAAATACAAGTACGATTATAATATACAGGTTTAAACAATGTTTTTTACCCTAAGTTTAAGACACTCTGTAGAGTGGCAAAACCGTATATTGTTCTAAATTAAGTTTTACTTATCAAGTCACATCTATTTTTAACAGTTTTGTTTTTGGTTCACCTTGATATATTTATTTTTGTGGAAAATATGGATTAAAAAAAAAAACATTGCAATTTCCAATATTTTTCCTGTATGATGAACTAAGGTTGCTATGGTCCATCCATAGCCTATGGAGGATGACAGTGACAGTTTTGTTGAATCATCCCATACTTGGACATGTCATATACAGCTTTCAAAAGCTATCAAATTGTATGTTGTAAATTAATGTGTTAATTTTGAGGTGTCTTCTTACTTTTAAAAATGTCTCCGACTGATGTTGCCCTTTACTTCTTGTGACGTTTAAAACACTTGCCACGTAATACTGTGACCGTCCATCCCGGATTAAATTAATGGCTCTGGCAACGTCAGTCGGAGACATATCCATTTTTTTAAGTAAGAAGACACCTCAAAATTTAAACATTAATTTGCAAAAAACAATTTGATAGCTTTTCAAAGCCGTGTATGACATGTCCAAGTATGGGATGATTCAACAAAACTGTCACTGTCATCCTCCATAGGCTATGGATGGACCATAGCAACCTTAGTTCTTAAGAATTCATACAGAAAAATATTGGAAATTGCAATGTTTTTTTAAAAAATATTTTCCACAAAAATAAATATATCGAGGTGAACCAAAAACAAAATTGTTAAGAATAAATGTGACTTGATAAATAAAACTTAATTTAGAACAATATACGGTTTTGCCACTCTGCAGAGTGTCTTAAACTTATGGTAAAAAAACATATTTTTGTTTAAACCTATGTATTATAAACGTACGTCTATTTTTTGGTATTTTTTTTAAAATTTGTTCGATTGTCCATTAATTTATCTACAATATTCTTTAATATTCGTTTAAATCCTACATCAAATAAAAAAGTTATTTGCGATTGAAATTTACGAAAATTTGTGTGGATCGATTATTTTGCCTGTAAGTGTATAATACCTTAAGAAAATCTATAGTTATTCCACTGCACATAGGTAATTTTACTTCTATAGGAATCATTTGTTGGGGCACAGGCAGTATAATCCCTTTAAAAAAATCGTTTGTTTTAAAAGCTTGCATATGCCGCGGTAATAAATCTCCCACTGTACATCTGATTAAATATAATTGGTCCACGTCTGATTTACCAGGCCACAACGCTTCTCCTTTTATTAGTTCAGCCAATACACACCCTAAAAAATAAAAAAGTTATTTAAATCGTTGTATTTTTTATTTATTTTATTTTATAGAGGTCGTATAATGCATTTTTTACCTATAGCCCAAACATCGACAGGTGGTCCGTACTGTGTATCTCCAACTAATAATTCTGGTGATCTGTACCATCTTGTAGCCACGTAGTCTGTGTAGTTTTCTCCAGGACCTTAAAAATGCAAACAAACAGGTAAAACCTTGTACTAAAAAGTAGAGATGGGAATCGGAAAGTTTCCATTTAAGGAAACTTTCCGTTTTGGAAAGTTTCCAATTGGGAATTTATTTTCATTTTGAAAGTTTCTTTTAAGCTACCGCAAACAAGAAACTTTGAATAAGAATTTAATGTGTGTTAATTTAAAGCAGAAGAAGTATAAATAATGTAAGTTATGTTACATAACCTCAATGAATAAAAAAAGGTAAACAAAATAAAAACAAGAGTTTTGTGTTGTCTGCTGAAGCAGACAGGTCGTAGACGGCCTTCCTTAAGAAGACAACATGGGACTCCCAGTACAAAAATACACTGGTCAGTACCATTTATACAAATCTACAATAGATTAATTTGATTCCTGAATAATTTCCACGATGGATGGTCAAAATATTTAAAGATAATATGTGCATAGAGCCATTCGCCATGGTGCATGGTTGGAATGGACTACAAAATGAAGGTTAAACAATAAAAAATGTATACATGAAAAACAAATTGGTATGAAATATTTAATGGTTAAATTATATGGATGATTGTAAAAGTGTAATGTTATGTATGATGATAAGTAATTTTGGACAATGTTAAATATATTGAAAAGAAACGAAGAAAGAAAATGGACATATTAATAAATAAACAAGAATATATCGAAAAATAAGTGTGAAAATTTTTTTTTTAAGTGATACAGTGGAATTTGTGAAAGAAATTAGGGTACGCCTCGATGCATCGAAACTCAATAGATCGAATCTCGCCAGATCGAAAATTTACATGACCTTCGAAGCTCACCAGATCGAAAATGTGTGGCAACGTCTCTTTTGAAACGTCAAAGGCTTAAGGCTTTGTTCACATGTTTTCTACAAAAAACGTATTTTCTTAAATGAGATCTACCTACTTTCGTTCAAACAAGATTTCGGTCAAAGAAAAGTAGTATACATCTGAACCAGAATCTACGGTATGCAATGATATTTATCAAACAAAAGTACAGATAAATATAAAATCCCCTTCTCAGATTTTTTTTTAATATCGGAAAATTCATATATAAAATAGGGACTGTCTACGTATCCTACTAGTAGGATGTATAGCCAGTTCGCTAAATATCCTACTAATAGGACAAATAGTACCAAAGCTAAATATCCTACCATTCAGCGTATTTCATAAACCATGATATCAAATAAGAAAAAAAATAAGCCAGCTAACTAAGTTTGTGTTAGTTTTAGTTTAAAAAAAGAACTAAAGGGAGCCTTAAGGCTCCCTATTCGGAATATAAAACCTGTCTTTGATTATTCACATTGGGTTTTTTACCAAATAATTTGTAATTTAAACATTATTTTAATCATCCTTAATATTATTTAAATAAATGAAAACATTTATATTCTATATGTTCTAACATATTAGAACAGAGGGACAAAATCTTTTATTTAAATATATATTGAATGTAAAATAACACATCCACTCTTAATTTAATTAATAATAAATCATCAATCAGTGGTCATTTAATTCCATTATAGAGATTAGGATTTTAAAGTGTCGAAAAAAAACCGGAAAAATTGGGGAAAAAAATTTATTGCCAAGGTTATGATGATTAGCTGTCATCTTGGTTATGCAGATACACTACATTGTGCCATACCAAACCAACCCAAACTTAACAACCCAACCCAACCGACCCCGCCCCATTGGGCCCTCCCTCCCCATTGAGCAATAGAGGTATAATATATCTAAGGGCAGGGTCAGTTGGGTTAGGTTGTTAAGTTTGGGTTGGTTTGGTATGGCACAATGCAGTGTACCTGCGTAACCACAGTTACATTAAAAAGTAAATAAAAGCACAAAACAGCCCCACACCCATAAAACTAATGAAAAAAACGCAGGGCAACGTCCGCCTCAGACGTGGAAATAGGATTTTTCACGTACAACGTACAAATAATAATTGACAAAGTTTTAATCTTCATACTTCTTTATAAATGTCTGTATCTCGAAAAAGGAATTGAATTTCTCTCCAACGTTACAATCCATTATAATTTAATTATTGCAGTCAAACAAATGGTGTAAAAACCTAAACTAACCTCACTTTTGAGTGTTGTTTTTGCCGAATTCTGAATAATAGTAGGATATTTAGCCTTACTACTATTTGTCCTATTATATAAACTATAGTCGGATATTTAGCGAACAGGCTATAAATCCTACTAGTAGGACACGTAGACAGTCCCTATAAAATAATAATTACACAGGTTTACAAATATGGGTCAACTTTTGTACACGAAAAACCAACAATTGTTTTTTACATATTTTTTTGCGCTGAACTCGAATGCGTCGCCCGTTTCACGTGGTCAGGTAAAATTTCCAAGATATCTTATATTAGAAGTTGACGTACTTACAGTTAATTGCTATAGCATTGTTTTTGTATTGGTTGCAAATAAATTTACAAAAATGTCAAGTAGGCATTGCAAAGTCGATCCTGAATATTTTTGTTACGTTTGTGGCGTGTACATTGTCCGAAAAAAAGGCAATAAAATGACAGAATCGCTAAAAAACGCGTATTTTCACTACTTTGGTTTTACTGTTAGTGATACTGAAAAGTCGTGGGTGCCTAAATTATGTTGCAACATGTGTCGATCCAAGCTGTACCGATGGTCAAAGGGTCATAACATATATCTTCCATTTTCAACGCCAATGCTTTGGAGAGAAGAACAGAACCACGTAGATGATTGCTATTTTTACTTAACGAACGTTATGGGTATAAATTCAAAAAATTTAAAAAGCCTGAAATATCCAGAAGTTTTATCAGTATCAAAGCCAGTTCCTCGTCACGAAAATGACCCTTAACCTGTTTTACCCACAACGCATATAAGCATGGAAGAGTTTGATGACAATATGATGAGTAGTGCCAGCGAGTTTGAGTTTGACGAAAAGTATTTAATTTTGCAAGCTGAGCTAAGTGATTTGGTACGAGACTTGCAATTATCTAAACAAATAGCAGAATTGCTAGCATCACGCTTGCAGCAATGGCAATTTCTTGACAAAAAAACGAAGGTTACCATATACAGAACCCGAAATAATTCGCTTTTGCCCTTTTTCTCAAAAACTAATAACATGTGTTTTTGCAATAATGTGGCGGGTTTGTTCGACGCAATGAAACAACCATATGATTGTGATGAGTGGCGTCTCTTTATCGATGGCTCAAAATACAGTCTTAAAGCCGCTCTTCTACACAATGGCAATAATAAACCGTCCATACCAATTGCTCATGCGGTAAACGCCAAGGAAAACTACGAAACGATAAATGAAATTTTGAAACACATTCAATACAAAAAACACAACTGGAAAATTTGTGGCGATCTCAAGGTAGGTAATACATTTTTTGTTAATAATAATATGTTAAAAATAAATTTTAATTCAGGTGATTGGCTTGTTAACTGGTATGCAGTCCGGCTTCACAAAATACTGCTGTTTTCTTTGTTTGTGGGATAGTCGCGCCACTGATAAACAATACAGACAAAAAGTTTGGCCGATTCGGGATCAACATACACCAGGACAACATAGCGTTTCTGCTACATCCTTAGTTGATCCTAAACGTTGCGTTGCACATTAAGCTCGGCATTTTTTAAAACTACGTAAAGGCACTTGAGCGTGAAGGGCCTGGATTTCAATATCTTATTAAACTGTTCCCCAAAATTTCTTACGCTAAAATCAAAGAAGGAATTTTTGTCGGACCAGATATAAGAAAATTGATTAATGATGACAACTTCACCAAATGTTTATCTCCTACTGAAGCAGCAGCATGGGCCTCATTTAAGAGCGTTGTTTGTAATTTCCTTGGAAACAGAAAAAGTAAAGACTACAAGGCAATTGTCGCGGATCTTTTGGACAATTATTTTAAATGTTCGCATGTCACTTAAAATTAATTTTTTGGATTCCCATCTGGAATTTTTCCCGGAGAACCTAGGCGATGTTAGTGACGAGCAAGGAGAGTGCTTACATCAAGATTTGCAGAAAATTGAAAAAAACTAAGGTTTTTGGGACGAGGGGATGTTAAGAGATTATTGTTGGTCACTTATATGTGAAACAAACCCATACAATTATAAAAAACGCAGTTCTACTGCACTTCAATTTAAAATGTAGTCAATTTTCTAATAAAATAACAAAAAATACCATTATCGTATATTTAAAAAACTTGACCTGATCCAGAAAAACGGATAGAAGATTAGTGATCAGCGCATGTTATCACCCTAAAATCACCTTTAAGTTGCCTGGGTACAAAACCTTGTATACCTGTGTTATTGGAATAAATTTTGGAAAGTGTTGTCAATGTATAAGGGGAATAACCATACATTCCTTGCAAATAAATCATGGAAAATGCATGGTTTTATAAATAAATATTAATATACTCATATGCATGGTTTTATAAATAAATATTAATATACTTACTCATATTGTGAGTTACGTGTAAGGGGCAATTCATTAATTACGTAAGGGTCCCGATGTGGGAGGGGGGGTTCTCAAAATCTCTCCATACCCTTATCTCGGGGGAGGGGGCTAAAAGCCATTCTTATCATTTTCTAAAACCAGATAAAATCTTACGTAAGAAGGGGGAGGGGGAGTCCGAAAAATCTTATGTGATCTTACATGGGGACAGGGGGCTCAAAAATGGCCAAAATCGTCCTTACGTAATTAATGAATGGCCGCTAAGTGTAACTTGGTGTTATATATCCAGGACTCATGGAGGGTTATTTTTTTTCTATGGAGTAGGTATGCTTTAACTAATTAGTTTTTTACTTTTTTCTGTGATGTATTTAAAGATGTAGGTATTATCTTTGCTTCAATGTAGGGATATATATATATATAAACTCAAACGGTATACCCTATAGGTACAGGGTATACCCTTTGAGTTTTTCTGTACAGATTAAACTGAAGGGTAAATACACCATATATGGATATATATCACGTAAAATATTAAAGATTAAATGATTTGAAGCCATATTATTTCAGATTTACATAAGGGAACATTTTTAGAAAGAAAATACAGGATTGTTGTGGGAATATTCATATTTCTATTGTAAATTATAATACAAAATTATATAAAAAATATTTATTTTCTCTTATAAAACAAAAATATTATGTTACCTAGGTATTATAAAAAAAATGTAAATAATCAAATAAAAAAAATCTGGTATTGCCACGTTCTTCGTGGAAAACTTCAGGCTGATCCTTCAGAGGATTCCTCGGTTTCTGGTGGTGCTTCGGTAACTTCTGCGGAGGCATCGGCTAACGCTGCATTTGCTGATGCTGCCGCATGTAGTTGGCGCTGGGCTTTTGACAGATAGATTTAATTCTAAATTTGCCTTGTTGTCGCTGCCAAATGATTCGTTATACAGATTCTGTAATCATGTTAGCATTAAGAATGAGTTAAAACTTAAATTCCAGTTATGTTTTGATCAACTCTTGTCCAAGGCGCGTCCAAGGCGCGTTTTTTTAACGTGGTTTCCCCAGTAGGCCTATTCCACGGTCATAAAAAATAAACTTACGGATGCGTCAATGCTAATTTCGGAATCTTCTTCGCCAGTTTAGATAGGAGCAACATAATCCAATAGGATGAACAAGAGCTTGCTGCAGAATATATCGTCATATTTATGAATTAATGAATGATGAATGAATGATGCATAAATGATGAATGAATGATGCATGAATGAAAAATAATGAATGAATATTTAAGATCTTTTTAAGAATTTAACAGGTTTAACAATATTAGGGGTTTGTTAACAATACTAACTTAGCATAATAATATTATTAACAGAACACTACTTACATAAGATGTTCTTTAAAAAGAAGTTAACAATTGTTACTTACACTTTAAAGTGTATTGGAGTAAATTAATTACAAACTGGCCTTAACTAAAAACTTAATAAAATCACTAAATAAAAAATTAACTCTATCTACATATCTATCTATAGTATAGATTCTATAACTCAGAGCCAAAGTACGTTAAGTCCAAAATTTTAAATATGACCAATCAAAATTTAAACCAGTTTTTAATATATATTAATAATTTATATTTTAAAACTAATTTATATATAAATTAGTTTAAAAATATTATATTACTCTCTTAAAATAAAGTTTTTAATTTATACTTGTACAATATTATAGGATTCAAAAAAAGGTATTTAATATATTGAAAACTTGTTTAAATTTTGATTGATTATATTTAAAATTTTGGACTTTCATCTAGAGATATAATAACTGCATTACCTACAAAAAAGTCCATCAGTCTTAAAAAACTCTATAACTTACAAAAAAAGAGTAGTAAAAGCAAATTTAATAATAAAAAGTTACTTTTACAAAAATAAATTAATAATAAAATATAGGTACCTAATTGTTTAGTATTTAAAAAAAAAAATTTTAATATAGGTAATGATTTATTATTTCCTTACAAAAATAAGAATATGCATATCATTTAACTTTTATGTTATCCTTTAACTTGAAGATATTAAAAAATGCAGTACAAAATTTTTGACATATTTTGGTTTATGTTCTTAGGATAGTGGCACATAATATCCATAATATGGATAAATATTATGTAGCCTACTTAAGTAGGGTTTATGTCTGCCTGTTGGTGTACAATGGATTCCTTATTCAAACTTGGGGGTTGTGTTGCATTTATGTAAGGTTTATGTTCTTAGGGTAGTGTTATACCTATACATTTCATATTCCAACTTTAATTGCATTCAGTTTATATTCTCAGGTTGGTGTCCCATGGCTTCCATATTCCAACTCCTTTTAAAAATTAAAAATTTAATTAACATAAAATTTAAAGCAAAAATATATTGGGCAATTTTTAGTAAAACAATAATATAACAGACATTAACACTGATGAAATTTAAATTTAAAAAATTCTACCTTTTTTAAAATTTTTTAAAATGTTCCACTGTTAAATTCTTTTTGGATGCATTTTTCTCATTTATGTATCTAAATGGATGTATTTAAATGTACACATTATTCAAAAAATTTTATGTGGCTATTAATAATTATGTTACAATATTATTGCAATGACTATAATAATAATTAGTAAACTTTGGTTAAAAAATAAGGTAACAAACCTATAAGATTTAACATTTGAAATAAAACATAACAAATTGTTGTTATTAACAATTTAAACTGCTTCTAATATTTTTTCATTCCAAATAATTTTGTTTGTAAAGTATTGATTATAATTTTTACTAATATATTTTAGAACACTGACAAGTTTATAATATTGCTTTATTTGTATTGCCACAAGTTAATAACCGAATTATTCTTTTTTATGAACCAACTGGACTTCAGTAATAGAAAACCAAGGTTTGCTAAAAAGCTGACAATTAAACAAAATACTTACGTTTTAAACTGTACACAGTTAAATAAGCCTTCTTAAGAAGTTCTTATAAGCAAACAGGACCCAATGGCACACAAAACATGATGTCCGACTTTTTTTCACCATGGCCGAGTTTTGGAAGAATCAAGCAACAAAGCATACGTGTATGTGTGCTTGGTTGCATAATTTTGTACCAACTGGCAACTCATCGATTAGGAGTCATGTTTTCAGTTTTGTCAATTCTGTTTCACCCCTTGTCACATACTATCCTTGGAAGGATACATAAAAGATCTTGTATGTTTCTCTCCTTTGTCTAACTCAGTGTCGGTGACAATTTCGCATCATGGATATTTTTATTTTTTAATTATCTTGACTACTTTCACCTTTCGGCATCCTCAGGAGGTACTGAAAACATACAATATTTAGTAAAACACACATTTAAAATAGATATTAATTCTATTATTTCAAAATTTAAAATTATTATTTCAAAATTTAAAATGTTTAAAGGACTGGTTGGCGATGCTGACATGGTCATGCTACAAATCTATCCTAAATTGACCAACTGTTTCTTCTTTCAACTTTGAATAGGTAATTGGAATTCTACAAAAAAAACTTAATTTTATTATAAAAAATATTTTTAAACTTACATGTCAAAATCACTTCTTACAACCATAGAATAAAAATACAACATCACTTGTCAATGTTTTCAAGTATTCATATAAATACAAATTACCATTTTAAAGTACCTACCTAAGAATAAATAACTTTTTAAATTTTGTTGCTTAAACTACTATACTGTATACCTATACATCTACAGGCATATCCCAGATCGAACTTTGTTTGCATTTAAGAAAAATCGCTTTTTCCTAATGAAAAATGTGAACCAAACCTTACCAATTTGATGTTTAAAGTGCGACGATGCCACACATTTTCGATCTGGTGAGCTTCGAAGGTCATGTAAATTTTCGATCTGGCGAGATTCGATCTATTGAGTTTCGATGCAATGAGCTGCTCCCAGAAATTAGACATAAATTAATATTAAAATGAACTATGAACAATAATAATTTAAAATAAATGATTTAAGGGATGAGTTGTACTCAGATTCTCTTAATTGAGACCCTTGAACATATATAAATATTCAAAAACATAATGAGCTGGCCAAATAGCTTTTAAGTAAGCTAAAGGCCATTACCCTGAACACAGTGATCTGTGTTCAGTTTTAAGAAGAAGAAGAAATAAAAACAAACAAAGTTAAAATCATTCTTACATTTTTGTTGTTTATTTATAGGCATAGCACAATGCCAAGAAAAAAATCTAGTGTTTGGAATTATTTTTTACTTTACTTTTTACTTTTCAATATTCCTATATAGGTATTAGTTACTTTGTCCCTTTTAATTTTTTTTACGTAATATCTAGGATCTACTAGCAGTGAATTTCTAATAGTAAACATTTTATTTTTATTTTGTAGGTTTCAGTATACAATAGGAATATTCCAAAGTAAAAGATACTAAAAATAGTATTGCAGTTACATTTTTATAAACATTTTTTTTTATTTTTCCCTGGCATAAAAAAAAATATTTTCGCAATAAAAATTTTTTTTTGAAACTTTCGGAAAATTTCGGGAATTTTCGATGGAAAGTTTCCGGAAATTTTCGTCAAATGGGAATTTTCCCATCTCTACTAAAAAGTGTGAAGATGGAGCACTTACTTAACATCCTAGCGAACCCAAAATCGCACAACTTGACAACACCGCTAGAGGTAAGTAGAATATTTTCTGGTTTAATGTCCCTGTGAATGCAGCCATGATGGTGACAGTACGCCACTGCCTGTAGCGTTTGCCATACGATTTGTTGCGTTAAAATGTCGGGGCAACCACGAGGATACCGTTCCAGTTCGTTTAATACTGTTTTTTCGCAGAATTCAAACACCAAATGTAGTCGACGTTTTCGGCGAAATACTTCTATCAGATTCACCAAATTTGGATGCTTCAAATTCTAAAAATGTTTATGTTTAAAGTTGCACTTAGAGAAATGTACCTTATTTCATTTTTGGTGCAAACAGCATTTGGTTTTTAAGAGTGGGGGCTTTTCTGTAAGTGGAGGAATATCGGTTAAACTCCAACAACGCTTCAGTGTCAAGACAGTGGCGGCTCGTCAGGGTAGGCCTCTGAGGCCGCGCCTCACCCTTAAAATGAAGGAACGAACGACTTTTTGTATTTATATTTTTGCCTATTACAAGTGTATTTTTACAACAGTTCTACCCAATAAAAAGTAAAAAACCAATTAATCATATTAAGCGTAAATAAAAATCCAGGCGCAAAGCGCGTCAAGTTAACGTGCATCGTTCGAGCGCCAGACAGAGGCGAAATTTTCACAGCCTCGGAAGCTCCCATTTACCTCTTGAAAGCGAAAATGACTCACCAACAAAAATATTTAAAACTTTTGGCTGATCTTTTATAGTTTTTGTCTCGATTAGTAAAATTTCTTATTTAATTATTGTAGGGAACACACTAAGGTAGATTTAGCAGTTTTTATTAAGCAAATTTTATATTTTGAAATAATAGATTGCATAATTCTTCAATTAGAGACGCGGTTTGAAAATTTAGAATTACTTTTAAATCTCACTGCAGACCCACAATTTTACGACCAAATAATAGATAAATTTTCAATCTTAAAAGATAGACGTATAGTATTTTATATTTTTTAATACTTAGGTAGGGGTCGACTTTTTAGTTTTATTTTTATTTTTTGATTAATTTATTTATTTTTAACTTTTTTAAGACTATATTTTTAAGTTTAGGATTAAAACTAGTCTTTGATGTGATATTTTGTTTGTTTTGTTTTTTAGAGTTTATTTTTTGGTGTAGTAGTGCTATCGGCTCCATTTTAAAAAAGGTCTACGCGTCGCAGAATAATACCTCCCGGGTGACGTGGACATTTATTCGTATTTAGACAAAATTAACCTTATGTAGCCTCACCCTCCTGTACACCCACGAGCCGCCACTGTGTCAAGACAACATATATTATAATATAATAAGCTTATGAGCTTATATTCTCTAATATTAAGTGTCGAGTCACTGGCGTTGGGGTATATTTGAAGTCGGCTATGCATTTTTAAAACTTATTGCGTTATTATTAACCTAATTTACTTGATAAGGGTTGCGTTTACGTAAATCATCAGAATGAATAATGCGCATTATTTCGAGTGTAATTATATCCTTTTTTACTCCAATTAAGTAATTTTTATTAATTACAAAATTTATTATAACCTCACAATCTATAGTCGCGCCTCTTATACAGTCTACTTAAGTTGGCAACATATGGAAAACTTTTTTATTATTAATTTTAAGAAAAAAAGTTATTCTTCATAAAAAGTTCTGCATGTTTTAAAATCTAATTAGATTTATCATCAGATATAAAAGAATTTCAGCCGTTTGTCAAAAAATATGAATATTACTCAAGAGTAAAGTACCTTTATATTTGACAATATCGAAAATTCTTATTAAAAAAAGTTGTTCAGAACTAAAAACTACGTTTAATGTGCAATCACATCCCGTAGGTTTTATAATCCTTTAGCGAAAATAACTTTATAACTTTTTATTTCAAATAAATATTTCTGTGTTTAGTAGTACTTAGTCGTATAATAATTATAATTAATATTACGTATAATTAACTTTATTTTAATTGGCTAAATTAGTGATTTTTATTTTTTTAATGCGTTTTGAGATTTTTCGTAAGTACGAGCTACCCCGATTTAGCCATGCTGCGCGACAAATGAATATACAGTGTGACCCATTTGTTTGCGAGTCACCCCTGTAAAATCTTTATTAATTATGCGATTTTAACCGCATTTGTTTTAAAGTGTAGATCTTGATAAACTGTATTTTTACAAAATACACGGCCCACATGTCAGTTTTTAAGAGTAAATTTTTAGGAATTCATATTAGCGATTTATTAAATGTATGCACGGAACTGGATTCACCACCCCTCAAAAAGACCCTATACTAAATTTTACTGAAATTTTTTAAGTAGGAACGATTTTGTAGCCAAATTAAAAATTCACAATAATTACTATTTACAAAAATTTATTCTGTCAAGTTATCCATGAAAAAATCATTGAAATAAAATTAAACTAATACACTGCCCGTCAAAAATAACGCATAATAAGTAACAAAAAATTAACTCTTAAACGCCTTTACCAATTTTGGATAAAAATACTTTAACTTATATCTCAGTTTACGTGTTCAAGGGTTTTTCGAGAAAATATCCATAAACCTCTTTATTTAATAATAAAAAACGCTAAAAAAAACTTTTACAGGAAATTTTTTTTAAGTAAATAAAAAATATGCTGTGAAATACCGTATTTTTGTGAGTATACGTATAAAAAAACTTTTACAGGAAATTTTTTTTAAGTAAATAAAAAATATGCTGTGAAATACCGTATTTTTGTGAGTATACGTATAGGTACCCTGAAAATGTTGTACAAATCAAACGAACAGTAACGAAAATGACCACTTTTCAGCAAAATAATTAAACAAGTGTCATTTTTACCGACTTTGAAGCACTGTATCTTCGTTTCTGTTCGTTTGATTTGTACAACATTTTCAGGGTATACTAACAAAAATACGGTCTTTAACAGCATATTTTTTATTTCCCTAAAAGTTATTTTTTAAACGTTTTTTTATTATTAAATAAAATGGCTTTAAAAATATTTTCTCGAAAACCCTCGAACACGTAAACTGAGATATAAGTTGAAGTATTTTTATACAAAATTTCATAAAGATTAGTAAAGGCGTTTTAGAGTTAGAATTTTTTTACTTATTATGCGTTAATTTTGACGCGCAGTGTAGTAACTTGATATACCTAAAAATGCTGAGGGGTTAGTGGATTAGTAGAGGTGACGAAAATCTAATTTTAGAGAATTTTTGGAATTCTCTATTTTTCGTTTCATTGTTGTTTTAAGTTTATTTGCGTTTTTATTTTTCAAAACTAAGCATAAGAATTTTTATAGGTACCATGTTACTATTAGTTTAATTTTATTTCAATGTTTTTCATAGATAACTTGACAGAATCAATTTTTGTTAATAGTAATTATAGTACAATATAGTAAAGGGTCGTTTTAAGGGGGTAATCGCTAATATGATTTCTTAAAAATTTACTACTAAAAACTGACAAGGACTATAGGCCTTGTATTTTGTAAAAATATGATTTTTGCTCCAAAAATAGAGTTTATCAAGATTTACAGATTTTATGCACTTTGTTTGTTTACTTAAAGAATAGGTTACTTAATATTTTTGTGTAGAAAAGACCCTTTATACGCATTTCTAAAAAAACTTTTTTTAACTTTACCAATGTTCCTTTAAATTAACTTTTAATAAATAAACTATTAATTAACATATTTTATCTACTTCTACATTGACAAGCTGCGACTTTATGGCGTCACGGGATGAAGTTTACAACAGTGGCTTTGCTTAAAAGTGAGGTTAAATTCGTCAAATGTCCAATATTTATGAATTTAAATTGGCTTTAAATTCTTATTTATGTTCGTCGTAGATAAAATATAGTATACAACTCGTTTTATAAACTTCTCTAGACACTCGCTACAAAGCTTCGCTCGTGCCTAATAAAACTCGTAACTAAAATGGCGTTTATAAAACTTAATACATAATATAGGTACTATTTATTTTGTTTTTTGTGTTATAATAAAAATAAAAAATATTGATATTTTGATTACCTTTAAAAGTCTTATTTCTCTTAATGCTATTTTTCTTATTAAGGGATCGTCTTCACTTTCAGCGAATTTTTTTATAGCAACTATCTCCCCAGTATCCCTATTTTTACATTTATACACCACTCCATAGCTACCTTCCCCCATTTTTCCTATTTTCTCGTATCTCTCCATTACTTTTGAAGGGGTTCTGGTCCTAAAAAAATAATGAAACAACTACATTACAGGAAACATTAAAATTAGGTTTCCGGCTAAAATTCACTTTTCTAGAAAAAGGCTCTTTTATTTTTAACAGATACAAAAAATCAAATTTTAGGTCCAAAACCTCATTTCTCGTTTGGTATTTATTTCTACCATGTAGGCACAGAACAGTGTGTGAGGGTTCGTTTCATTAATGAACTTGTTTGATGCATTTTTGTGCTGAAATTTTTTGTCCTCCCAAAAAAATCGGAAACCCATCTGTATCGACGTATATTTATGTCTTATCCATCCGAAAAATTAGGTAAAATATTGGAATATTTTTATTCCAATGGTTATTTATAGGTTTAAAAATGACACTTTAAAATGACATCTGTCACAATTACAGCCTAACCTATTCCGAAAACTCCTTAATTGTTAACCTAAATTTATAATAATAGTTATAAATTATAACTTAAGTTATAATTATAATAACTTAAAAACAAGAAGACTAAATAAAGGAGAAGAAGGAGAAAGGCAAGAGATGTGCAAATTGCCCACTGCGCATAACTGTCATCAATACATAGGTGCACTCACACAGACACGAGCCCTTTGCGCATCTGTAGGCTACTACTGATGTATGTACTATGCTCCACACCCAAAAGTCCCACCTTGGCATTTGAATTCAAATAATTAAGGTTATTTATCTGTCTGTTTAACGCAAATTTTGACTTATTTTTTTTTTACTTATTTACATATACAATACAATACATGTATTATTTGTGTCTAAAGGTTTTAATTTGAAAAAACAAAATATTCATATTTTGTATTATTTTCAGAAAATAAGACGTAATTAGTGTTAAACTGACAGATAAATAACCTCAATTATTCGTATTCAAATGTGGGTTTGGAGCATAGTGCGTACGTTTTTTTGGCGTGCCCTCACCCACAATCCACACAACAAGGTCTGTTCGATCTCGTACTAAAATTTTAGTACTAAAAATTACTGCAACACTGCACATCATTCAATGGCGGCCATTTTTGTTGTTTACAATTCTTGTGCTTTGGGTTTGTACAGATTAATAATAGTTTTAAACGTTGTGTTTCTTACAGAGACACTTGCAAGCCTTAAAAGAGACCTCAAAGTGGTAAGAACAATCATTTTACTCCTCTTTTGTAAAAAATAAACCTTATTCTATCAGGGCTGTCAAATGTCAATTTAAAGGTTAATTTAAGGTTATTTTATAACCCACAACCCTCACCTAGAAGTCACTCATCATATTTAGTCTTAAGAATTCTTGCCTAAAAATATTAACATAGGTATTTGGGTAAATTAATTTTCATTTGTTGACAAGCTTGCTTTGTTGAAAACTGTCAAATGTCTTTCCCTCTCTACATGAAAATTAAGCTTTATTCTCGAAACAGTTTTCGCACGTTAACCAATTGGTTAACGTGCGAAAACTGTTTCGAGAATAAAGCTTAATTTTCATGTATCCGTTTGTCCGTTATACGTTTGTACGTTTTTCAATAAAATCGTCCGATAAGAAATGTTCTAATTTTCATGCATCCGTTTTTTAATGACGTTTAACGGATTGATTTGGCGACAAATAAAAATTAAGGGTCAGTATATTCACTTCACTAAATTTACCTAATGCTTAATTGTCATGTAACTTTAACAGTTAGCTGTCTAATAAATTTAAAGGTAGGTAAATATACCATATAAAAAGAATATACTAGCCTTAATTTACATTAAAATGTATAGTTTTAAAAAAGCAGGTCCTTTTAGTTCTGGTTTTAATATTTTATTGTTTGTCTTTTCTTTTTTTCTGTTATTATTATTAAATAATAAAAGTAAAACATTATTCACATTCTAATATAACTTTTATCTATAGAATGACATATATTCCGTAAAGTGTTAAAGAATGAAATATTCTATCATCGGATGACAGAATAAACACGTGGAGACATCTCTGTTTTTAATATCTAACAAATTTTAGACCGATCCAACCTCACTTTATTCCAATTAAATTATTTTTCTATGGTATTTTTTGGAAACGTAGAAAAAGTATAGTCTGAAACACGTTTGGAATTGCATATTCCTCTCTCGTGAAACCGTCAAACTCGCCTTCGGCTCCAGTGACAAACTCTTCACTCGAACGGAATATGCTGTATTCCAAACTTGTTACAGAATATACTATTAAAATTTAATAATTAAATTTCTCCGTCAGACGTACGAAGTTAAAACTTGACGGACGGAAAAAATGTCATAATTTTTGAATTATAATTGGACCAATAAGAGCGCTCCCGGATGAACAGACTAACGGACAAACGGATACATGAAAATTAAGCCTAAAAAGTTACCATGTTTCGTAGATAATAATTATAATTATTGTAATAGAACTTTTTAAATAATTAGGGCTCAACTTACTTAGCCCATAATATAAGTATGTTTAATGCATTCAATACATTTCCTGTTTTGCCTTTTTTAAATTTATTGATTTTTCTGATAAAATCATCAAAATGCATTAACACGGAATATCTACATTGTTACTAGGTATACTTATTATAAATTTATAAATAAAAATATTGATTTTACCTTTAATATTACATATTTTGATGTTATCTACAAGTTCATGGTATACTTACGGTATACTCGTAAATCCTTGAATTCAATGTTACGTACATAAAAATAAATAAAATTAATACCAAATAAGCAATACTTGACAAAAAAATATAATTAAATTTTTCTAGGTTAACCCCAGCAAATTAGGTTTATTTTTAGCAAATTTACACAAAAAACATAGATAATATTGTAAATTACACCCAGAATATTTTGTCATGCCTGTTTTTGTATATTAAATGTGTTTGATCCGAATTTTCACCCCGGCTGGTAATTCTACCCTAGAAGGTCGATAGTGGAGTGCAGAAAAAGGAGGGAAAACATTTTGGTTTTTGAGGGACATTAAACGGACCCAAAACTAAGTACAGTCCGGAGTCCCCCTCAACCAGTGACTTAGTAATAACCCCATTCAATTGGGGTTCATAAATAGGGCTTGGTTGGTTAGTACGTTGCTTGGACTTGTCCTCGCTGGTCTTGTAGTACTTCCTGTTCGTCTGCATCCGTATCTCTGTCCGAGTCGGATTCAGGAAGTTGGTACAATTATTCAGTCATTTTCCACATAAGGATTTGTGGGTACTGAAGTATTCCTATCGGTCGCGGTCGATTTGTAAGAAGCGGATCATCTGTGCGAGGGTCGTGGAACGTCTAAAAACCCGGGATTTTATTCATACTGATATCATACGGAAGTCGCAGAGTGATAAATGAAAATCATACGAACGTCACGTCGTGATTTTCACAAATTTTATTCATACGGACATCATACGGATGTCACTGCGAGAGAAATGAAAATCATGTCGTGATTTTTTATGCCATCGCTGTTTGCGATTGACCAATGGGCTAAAAAATCATGTCGTGATTTTTTATGCCAACGGTGTTTGGATAATCATTTTTGCGCCACGTTCGTACACTAAGAGAAAAATTATGTTGAATCAACAGTTTTTGTGGTTAAACACATTCAATATTTTCTTGGATTTAAATATATACATATATACATATATTAGACTGGTTCAAAAAAATCGAATATTTTTTTTTCTTCAAATCCCGCATTGAAATATCTTCCTAGTAGTGAAAAAAGAAGACTGTGAAAATTGTAGCTCTTAATATTAATATTTAGAGGTCGCTCATCGTGAATTTCTATTTTACGTTTAAATAACACAGGAATTCTTTTTTCTTAACTTTGAAATTTTATAACTCGTTTTTGAGTGAACATATTGGAATGAACTCTATATATTTTTGAAGAAAATTGAACGTTCTACAAAAAATGTCTCTTATAATTTTTTCGTAAATTCACTCCTTTAATAGTTATTCAAGGTTGAAATTAGACATAAAATAAATGTAACGTTTAAATAACAGAGGAATTTTTTTTAACTTTTAATTTTATAACTTTTTTTTTGAGTGAACATATTGGAATAATTTCAACCTTGAATAACTTTTAAAGGAGTGAATTTACGAAAAAATTATAAGAAACATTTTTTGTAGAACGTTCAATTTTCTTCAAAAATATATAGAGTTCATTCCAATATGTTCACTCAAAAACGAGTTATAAAATTTCAAAGTTAAGAAAGAAGAATTCCTGTGTTATTTAAACGTAAAATAGAAATTCACGATGAGCGACCTCTAAATATTAATATTAAGAGCTACAATTTTCACAGGCTTCTTTTTTTACTACTAGGAAGATATTTTAATGCGGGCTTTGAAGAAAAAAAAATATTCGATTTTTTTGAACCAGTCTAATATATATATATAGTTAATTTAAATCCAAGAAAATATTGAATGTATTTAACCACAAAAACTGTTGATTCAATATATATGTAGGTATACTTTTTCTCAAATGTGGCGCAAAAATAAATATCCAAACACCGATGGCATAAAAAATCACGACATGATTTTTATGCCATCGGTGTGTGGATATTTATTTTTGCGACACGTTCGTTCATTGAAAGAAAAAGTATGTTAACAATTGAATCAACAGTTTAACATTCAATATTTTCTTGGATTTAAATTAATTATATATAGTTAATTTAAATCCAAGAAAATATTAAATGTATTTAACCGCAAAAACTGTTGATTCAACATAATTTTTCTCTTAGTGTACGAACTTGGCGCAAAAATGATTATCCAAACACCGCTGGCATAAAAAATCACGACATGATTTTTTGTGCCATCGGAAAATCGCAAACAGCGATGGCATAAAAAATCACAGCATGATTTTCATTTCTCACGCAGTGACATCCGGATGATGTCCGTATGAACAAAATTTGTGAAAATCACGACGTGACGTTCGTATTATTTTGATTTATTACGCGGTGACTTTCGTATGATATCAGTATGAATAAAATTTGTGAAAATAATGACGTGATGTTCGTATGAATATCACGAATGTTGTCCGGGTAGGTTTTTAATTCGCAGTTCGCAGGGCTCATACGCATGCGCAAATTTTGCAAATATCACAGCGTGAGTTCTACATGATATCACTGAAGCATGTATATGCACTCAGGATATCACAGCGTGATAAAAAAAATCACGTTGTGATATCATCATGACTTCACCAGGAAATCCCGATTGTTGTCCGGGCTGTAAACCTGTTTTTCCGGCTTTCAAAATGGCAGTTGTGAAATTTTTCGGTAAAAATCAAAATTTATCTCTTAAAATGGATCAAGTACCAATAAAATCCGACGTATAAGCAGTTTTTTTACAGTGAAAGTGAAGAGGATGTGTTATCGTTATCGTCAAATACATATGATATATAATAATAATATGTACAATAAAAAATTGTAAAAAAAATTTTTATTTAAATTTTTATTTTTTTATTAATTAATTACTGAGGTTTTTTTTTAATTTTTAATGGAAACTCAATTTTAAATGAAATTATATAAAAAAATAAAGGAGAATAAATATTATTAAAAATATTTTATATCTCAATATTATCCCGAAACTAAAAATAAATTTATTGTCTGTTTTTTTTTTAAATATTTTTAAATCGATCCTTGAGTACCCTTCTATCTACGCATGCGCAATCGCTTTTAAAACAACGGAATTGCGTCCTTGATCGTGAGCTAACTTTCCCGTTTTTTATCTTTAACAGTTGGCAAGCCCTATTTGCGGACACTTTATTTTAGGCAACCGTCTACCATAGTGTAGGTTGCCAATATGACAGCTGTCAAAATGACAGGTGCCAAAATAACGGCTGTCGAAATGACAGGTGCTAAAATGACGAAGCTCAAAATGAAAACTGTTAAAATTACAGGTGCCAATATAACGGCTGTAAAATGACTGATTCCCGAATGACAGATGCCAAAATAACAGCTGTCAAAATGACAGGTACTTAAATTACAGCTGTAAAAATTATCGGTGCGAAAATGACAGGTTCCGAGTTATACAGCCCAGCCAACTCAACCATAAAGGTTCTATAATGGTCCTTTATAGAAGTAATTTTAAGGTCATTTGAAAGTCAAAGTGCGAGGAAATGGATACAAATATTGGAAAAAAATTAGGTTCCTATTGGTTTTTCAGGGTCGCCGAAATTAAATAAGGTTAAAACCACAGACCTACAAACTTGTTTGTAGGTCTGTGGTTAAAACCCTTTTCTTAAGATCATTCCATTTCAGGTGGTCATTGCATTTGTGCTCTCATGAAAGTTTAAACTACTTTTTCACACTTTGACCTTGAAATAGCCCTGAAATGCCTTTGAAATAACCTCTGGGCGACCTTTCCAGGTCAATTAAATGCCAGATTCAAATTAAGCGACCCCGAAAACCTTTAAATGAAGGTTTTCAAATAGTTTCAAACACTTTTACACACTTTTACCTTGAAATAACCTCTGGATGACCTTGCCGGGTAACAAACGCCAGTTTTGGATTCTGCGATCCGAAAAGTTTAATATACTTAATTTTTTTTTCTAAGCAATTCTTCTTACTTTGACCTTGAACCTGATGTGATAGAGGTCAATTGACCTCGGATACGAAATCAGCGACCCCAAAAACCCCAGGGTGCCCTACTGAGGTCTATTGACACTTCTTATATCAAATGTTGACCTGTGTAATTCACTTAGGGATCAAATAGATTTAATAAACATAATAAACAGTAGTATTGGTAAATCCATGAAAAATCAAACAAGCAACGAAAAGTTAGATATTTTTATTTAACGCTTTTTTTAATTTTTAAAATTTGTTCATGGATTGCCAAGTTTTAAAATTTGTAAATTTTTGAATGGATTGTAAAAATTAAAAAAATGTTGAATAGAGAATCAAAAACCTTTCAAACAAGGTATCACAAGCCCCCTTATTCTATTTAGTCCTGCCATCTTGGCACTTGTTAGGCAGGCAAATGTCAATTTGACGACTAAAAGTAGTATACAAAATATTCTTGACCCTTGTTTTTTCCTGAGCTCGATATCTTTCTTACTTTGTTATGTATAAATTATTTTTTTCAAATAACAAAACTACAGATAATGTAATCATTTTAAAGAAATAGTTTAAGTATCACACATTATATAATAGTAATAATAATATAATAAAACCAATTTTTTTATAAGAACATTACCCGCGCCTATTACACATACTTCCAAAGTATGTGGCCTATTACTAATGCAGATCCTTATCGTGATGAGAATCGTTGGATGAGGCCGATAAAATATAAATCGAGTAGAAAATACAAAGCGATGTTGCCAAATTAGTTGAAGCCATACTATACTAAACTCAACAAATATATACACGTAATGTATACGCAAATCACGACTGCAGCGCCAAAATGTATGAACTAAAATATACAATTTTTGTTATTTAACGACATTAGGACCTCACTAATTTTTAAAGATTACGCCCTTATTTAATAAAAAATAATAGATTTCTATAATTTTTCATGTTCAAAACTTCCATTACTATATCATAGATGTCACTAAAGTTAAACATTTTAACCGCAGACAGTAAAAATTGGCAAAAACATTACGGACTCAATATACTGAGTCCGTAAATTTTTATAATCTGTGAAATCAGCTGAGGCCGTAGTGAATGGCGGCTGCATGTTAGAAGAGGTCGCATTGTTAGTAGAACAAATATATATATATATATACACGTATATACGTTCTATTAAGTTTAGCACGAACGGTAGTAAAAGTTAAAATTCATATAAATATGTGATTAAAGTCAGAATCAGAAATGAAAAATATAATATTTTTCGCACTTGGACAATTTACTTACTATTTACTTGTATATATTACTATTTTATTTTGTAATGGACGAGTGCGAGAAAATGTCATGTTATGTCATGACATGGGTTCTTAATACTTTTTTTCTTTTTGTCAAAGTTTAAAGAAAAACTCGAATTATAAATTATATTTGAGTATCGTACTGTCGCCATGGAGACGAAACGAAAATGCGTAGTGTACTGTGCTTATTATGGTATTTTTATATAAAGAGTTAATTTTATAGGTACTTAATTATGATTTTAACAAATAAAATTGGCTTTAAATTCTTCTTTGTGTTCGTCGTAGATAAAGTATAGTATGCAATTCGTTTTATAAACTTCTCTCGACACTCGTTTTAATTAAACACTCGCTCGCAAGCTTCGCTCGTGTCTAATAAAACTAAAATGGCATTTATAAAACTTAATACATAAAATACTATTATGTAAAAAACGAATAACTCGACTTTTTTGATTTTCAAGAAGGTCGACAAAATTTAAACAATCTTTTTTAACAAAATTCTAATAATAGTACTATTAATATAAAACGATATTGGGTATTATGAGTTTTTATTTTATTTTACAGAAAAAGGGTTATTTTATTAAAAAGGTCTAAAACCAAACTAAGTGCCACCTTTAAAGGGGCGTACGCTTCGATTTTATTAGGGACTTTTTTATATTTTTAAAAAATTTGTATGGAATTCGAAGACACCCTGTATATTTTTAAGGTCATAGGATTGGTAATTTGAATATTTTTTACAAAATTTTTGTTAGATTTTACAAAATATTCTACAATTTTCCAAATAAATGCATTTATAAAATAAAAAGCACATATAAAAAAGAAAATATTAAGACGATATTAAAATTAACAAGTTGGTAAATTAATACAGTAAAGTAAAGTTGGTAAATACTCTCATTTATAAATAAATCAATAAAAAAAGCAGTTAATTTTTTAGTTTCAAGGTGGGATAATTTAAAAATTATACCTACTACATAATTTTGTATTACATTTCTTTCCTAACTTAATACAAAGTATATTATTTATCGACTTTAAATTAAAAATAATAACAGTAATATTTTCCTTTGCATAAAAAACAATTTAATAATAATTGCCAAATTTGCAATAATGGCGAATGCGCGTAATAAATTATTTAGATATTAAGATTTAAAAAATTATTTAATATTTTGGCAATTCTAAATGTCAAAGGTGAATTTATTTTTATTATAATTTTACTCGATATATACGTAAAAGACCCTTAAATAAACCCAACCACTAAGAAGTAAGTAAAGCACAAAAAATCAAATTAAAGTACCTTTTTGGAAGTAACTGCAGTTGATTGCCAAGTAGCCACAACTTACTTCCATTGAACCATTTCTCCATGCGTCTTCTTGTACCGCGACGGTGCACCACTGGCGGAAAAACAGGGCTCTACAGCCCGTCGCCACGCTACAAACGTTACGTTGTTGTTTACAGTCAGTCAGTTGCCTGGTAACGTTAATCAAATTCTGGCGTTGGATGTCGACGCTCAGACAACGCGATTTCGACTGTGAGGGTTTCCATTTTCTGACCGACTGAGGTGGCATTGAAACTGCCAGGGTATCTAGATAACGGTGCTATTGGTTTTCTAGGTTTTTCTTTATTTACCGGAGTAGGTAATCAGTGTCTACTCAACGGTTTGCGATCGATTTTTTCGGTAATTTGTTTTTGATTACTTAGAGAAATTGATAGATGGAGTTAATAAATTTAATCTGACTAATTGTTAAAATAATGTAGTAAGTATCTAATAATATGGAATTCTAAAGATTAACGAAAAATTATACATTATGTTTTAGGGCTTAAATGTTAATTTCATCAATATGGTGCACCTATTTTTTTATTTAAAGGTGTCAGAAAAAAGTTGCGTTATTACAAACCTATTAAAAATAGTGGTACTCAAAATATTTTAAAAACTAAACACCTGTTAAAACTAAAAATCTTTATAACTTCGTTAGGTACCCCTGAAAATTGTAAAAAATAGTATATTATGTAAGATTTATAAACGCAATTTAAGTCACGAATTTAATTTGGGCGAGTGCTTAATTAAAGGGGGCCTAGAAAAGTTTATAAACGAGTTCCATACTATACTTTTTCAACGACAAAATTGAATTTCTTATTTGGGAATCTACCGGCGTTAAAATCCCAAATTTTTCTGTGTAATTCAAAATTTATCCCTTAAAAATAGACTAAAAATCGATATAGATGCAAAAGGTGTACTTCTCAAACTTCGATAAAATAAACCGTTTGCGAGATATTCGAGATTACAATAATTTTTATATCGCATTAAAGCACTAAAAAAAAGGTATATGATAAAAATAATTTTGATTGAAAAAACTACAATTTTTTTAAATGTGACGGTCAGGGCAAAAAGTCTCGAGGCTCATGGAATGCCCTTTTTAGTTTTTTCAATTAAAAAATAAAATTTGTTATCATATACCTTTTAAATAATGCGATATAACAATTATTGTAATCTCGAATATCTCGGAAACGGTTTATTTTATCGAAGTTTGAGAGGTACACCTTTTTAATGGTAGCCGAACTGTGTAATCGAAAAATTGCATCAAATGGTATAAAAACCTAACCTCAAAGTTTGTATGGGACAATAAGCTTAGGCAACCCCTGTTTCTACGACACTGTGTTCACTCGAACAATTGTAATTATGCGTGAATATGTGTTTTACCCACAGATTTGTGATAAAATTTTGATAAGTTTTTTATTTTTTAACCCAAATTAAACTTATTGCCATCAACTTTATTAACATTTTAGGGTTGATTTATATTGATTAATTGAAGCTTTGCTACAAAATGTTTAACCACCCTCAACCGTGACAGGGACGCAGTCCATGTTTTTTTTTTAAGCTGGGATTTTAATGAAAACTCTAGTTTAAAGTATAAAAATAATTTATTATAATACATATACACTACATATACCTCCTACATATATTACTATAATAGTAAACAAAAAATAAATTATTTAAATTGCGAAGCCAGCTCTCATGCGTTGAACTCCCAAAGGCATATCTGAAAAACAAAAAATAAACAAATTATTATATATTTTCTTCTAAATGGTTATTTACAACTAAGAAATTAATGTAAAAATCAAATATTACATTTAATGTTTATAAAAATAAATTGAAGAGGTTAATTTTTTTACCGATTTTAATAAAAAATCAAAATCGACTCAAAACGAACGCAAATTCAACGCAAATTAAACGCAAATGTTTGATAAAAATTCATTTATTATTACGTTTAATAATTTATTTTTATTTGTTTTTGACTCAAGCAATTAATGTAAAACCTATAGGTTTTATAAAATAACTTAATAAATCTACACGGAAAAAAATCTATACTGATTCCAAGAAAATTCAACTCTATCCAAGTATAGCTTAGTTTCCCTATTCCGCAAGTAAATTTATACTTGTTTCAAGTATCCTCATATTCTTATAAAATAAAGATAGCGTCTGTTTAATCTAAGATTACTGCTATACTAAAAATAAGAAACACACTAATTTTGAGTTAAGTATACAAATTTGTCTTCAATGAAGACTACGGTATTCTTGTTGTAACGTTAGTATGTACTTCATCAAAGTATAGTTTCTTTGTAAAATCTTTACAGTATTCTTGTTTTAAGAATATACTTTCTTTAAAATTTATTTATTTATACTTATTGTAAGTACACGCTTTACTTGCATAAAATGCTTGTATTCTTACTTTTCCTTTTTTTATATTTGATAAAAGTATAGTATATATTTAAAATAACTTTACACTATTCTTAAAGAAAGTGGTTGATTGGAAAAAAAATTCCCTCGTCTAGCGACTCGGAATAATTTTTACAAAAAAAAAACATTCGTGACCCTGAAAAATATTTGTATTAATTATCCTACCACTACGGAAAATACAAGTGAAAGTGAAAATATAATCGTTATGACAGTAATTTAACAGTATTTTTGGCAGATTATTTTAATTATTTTAATGTACTAAAGTACTAAGTATAATAGGCACTGATATCACAATAGGTTTATTACCTAACAGTCTTAGAGGTATTAGAAAAAGTACTGTCAATTTATATAAATTCATTCTTTCACGGTTAATTAACATAGATACTATATTTTACATTTTATTTTTTTAAGTACCTAGGTATCACATTTTTGGTGCTATATGTAAAGGTAAGGTTTTTAATCAGAATAGTTATTATTTTTTTAAGTAGGTATTTTTATTGTCAGTAAAATTTATCTCCAGCTAAATAATTTGTAAAATGAGTCCCTAAGAAGGCTACCATTATCATCGTAGATGGTTTGGTGTTAATTCTTCAATTTTTTTTCTAACCTTAATCCTCAATCCTATTTTTGGAATTAATTCCTTTAAATTCTCCTCGCTTAGGTTTACCGTAATATCGAGATCTATCTCGTTTTCTAAAACAAAAATAATATAGCTGAATTAGATGCTATAGCCTTTCTGCTGTTTATGTGCTATTGTCTGTTGCCTGTCGTATGATATCCATTTTACACTACATTTTTACGATCATGCGTAGTTAATTACTTTAAATTATTGAAATATTATTTACCCAAAAATGTGTCTAGTAAACATTCTAAGCCCCAATTTTTAAGTTTCTTCTCCATTATTTTTTATTAAAAATAACATCCAGACCGAAAAAGGAAAAAACGAACACACGCTACCACCATAGAACACAGGACAGACCTGAACACAGAAACTGCGTCTTTTCTTTTAGCGAAGCGGTCTTAGAGGGTGGACGGTATTTACTTAAGCGAAGAATTAGGTATTTGTTTTAATAATAGCTATACTTAAATACACCCAAGCAACACAGTTTCATCTTAAAGATGATTATTAGACGTCTTCGTCAGATATCTATAGATGGTATTGTTCAGATTGCAGATCGGCATCGAAATGTCCTCGAGATAGACGTATATATTAGGTACGTCATTATATCATTATAAGAGCATAGGTCTAAATTTGATCTTATATAAGTATTGCTTTAGATGATATATACATATATAGTTTTAATATGGACCTCTTATCTATGTATTTAGGAAATATCTATATTCAGACTAGATTAAGCAGAGCAGAGATCTAAAATTCATCTAAATCCTTTTAGTTTTAGATGAGTATATATGTAGTCCTATTATGGACGTCTTCAGTTTAAAATGAGCCGAGGTCTAAATTTAATCTAAATGCTTACTTTTTTTAGATGAATATATATGTATGTTTTATCTATGTTTTTAGGAGATGACCATATTTAGGCTAAATGCTTTTTTTCTTAGGCCAGTATATCTGTAATCCTAATATAGACGTCTTATTTATGTTTTTAAGAAATGTTTACATTCAGGATATAGATTTAGCACGACAGAGGTCTGAATTTAATCTAAATAATTGTTTCTTTAGATTACTATTATAGTATATTATTATTATTATAATATAAGTATACTTATACAGTCATCTAAAGTAACAATTATTTAGATCAAAGTTAGACCTCTGTCGTGCTCAATCTATATTCTGAATGTAAACATTTCCTAAAAAAATAATACGACGTCTATATTATAATATAGACTTCCTATAGGATAACAGAAATACTCGTCTAAGAAAAAAGCGCTTAACCTAAATATAGTCATCTCCTAAAAACATAGAGGAGTGCGGGGTACATTGCTTATGCAAGAATTCTTGTAAGAAATTCTACAAATATGAAAAGTCTTTTAATGAATTTCTTTCTTCATATTTTATTTTCAATAAAAGCCAAATAGTTTTATATTAAATAACAAAAATCCTTAAAAAAAATAACAAAATAAAGTAGCAAAAATAAGTTCTATACATTCTATGTATTTAACAAAAACAAAAATTATGTTCTATTTTTGGTATCCCTTTGGTTTCTTTTAAATATAAGTTACTTTAAATATATATTATTAATTATTTTTATTTTTATTATAATTATAACACTAGGTTACCAGTCGTAAACAGTCATGAGTAGCTTTTATTATGGTGTTATCCGTTAATTCAGCTGACGCGTTTATACCGTTGTTGATAAAATGTAGAAACACAGCATCTGAAAGGAACAAGGTTACATATATGTTACAGACAATTGTGAATTTCATACCCCCAAGAACTTCTGACGTTTTCGTAGATTTAAAGGCCCTCTTTCCATTATTTCGCGCTTAGTTAAATCTCTTGGCAACTTTATTGGCAAGCAAATATTTTAATCCATTTAAGGTAGCTGATCTCAGGTTGGTACCTTCAATAGCAGCTAATCTGTTTTTCTGTTGATAAACGTACTTACAAGTGTGTTAATTATATCATCGTCATTTATATAAGGTAATTAAAATAAATAAGAAAGCGGCTTACCACATACGCAAATTTGCTGGGATGCATTAGTTCCTCTTACAAATTGCCTGAAATCCGATCTTTGTTGAATTGGGAATGTTGGCAAACCAATAGGCCTTGTCAATTGCTTCACCTTGTTGTCTAAAAGATATCGAAGTATGTAGTCCAATTTGACCGTATTTTGATCCTGATGTCTACTCGAATGGAGGCATCTATTTCATGTGTTAAAATGATCTATTAGAAGGATCAATTAAAAAATGTGTTTTTTTTGACATAAACAGGAAAGGCCCTTATTATTATAAGTTTTCAATATACTTCGTCTCTGTAGTACAACATATGGAATCATGTTATTATTGGAAAATTTCCCTTGATCTATTAAAAAACGTA